CCTGCTTCACCACCTAACCTGCCTTTGTCCTTTCCTTTTTTTCTTTCTGATTTTTACCTTAATTAACCATGGAGTTGAATAATAAAACATCCCAGAGCTATGTGCTAAACACTGTTTGGGCCACCTATAAATTATATTCTGACCTGCCCTGGCTGGTGCGGCTCAGTGGGTTGATTGCTGGCCTATGAACCAAAGGGACACCGGTTCGATTCCCGGTCAGAGCACATGCCTGGGTTGCAGGCCACGTTCCTCTGTGCAGGGCATGCAGGAGGCAACCACACACTGATGTTTTTCTCTCTCCCTTCTCCTCTGTCTAAAAACAAATAAATAAAATCTTTTAAAAAATTATATTATGACCTCACGTTAACTCTGACAAATATTTTCATTCTTCGTTTACAGAGGAGAGAGTAGAGGCTCATGAGGTTATGTTGTGCTTGATAGTCTGAAGGGGTTTTTTGCTTAATTTTCTTTTTTTTATTTTTTAAAGATTTCATTTATTTATTTACTTTAAAGAGGGGAAAGGAGGGAGAAGGAAAGGTAGAGAAACATCGATGTGTGGCTGCCTTTCACACTCCCCTCATTAGGGAGCTGGCCCGCAACCCAGGCATGTGCCCTGACTGGGAATCAAACCTGCAACCCTTTGGTTCACAGGCCAGCACTCAATCCACTGAGCTACACCAGCCAGGGCTATTTATTTATTTTAGACAGAGGGGAAGGGAGGGAGAGAGGGAGAGAAACATCAATGTATAATTACCTCTCATCCATCCCTCACTGGGGAGCTGCCTGCAAGCCAGGCATGTGCTCTGACTGGGAATCGAATCAATGACCCTTTGGTTAGCAGGCCAGTGCTCAATCCACAGAGCTCTTTGCTTAATTATCAAAGTTGATAAATTAAATGTTTTGTTTATGTTTTTAAAAAAGTGTTTTCTTTTACCATAGAAAAATACAGTTGAAACATTTGTTTATATCCTCCATCTTACTTTTGCCAGAGAGTCGCTTGTCCTCGAAAAGAATTCGCCCTGACTGGAGGCCTGTGGCTGCTTCCCACCACACTCAGGTCTGCGTTCCCTTGGCCCCAGGCGGTGTGGGGGCCCAGCTCCCTCACAGAGCCTTTCTTCCTTCCCCTCTCCGGTTCCCCCCACCAGCCAGAGCTCATGCCCCTGCTGGAACATCTCCTGGGCACAGACCTGCACACTTTAAGCCATCTCACCTGAGAGAGTTAGTGTCCTGTCCACCTGAGCCTGCATGCTTTTGCTCACTTTGCTTTAGGATCTGCACACTTATGTACTGGTGTGCTGTCTGTGCACCCCCTCACTCCCTGGAGTTACACGCATGGGCGCACCAGAGTGGGGACATCAAGGATGCAACATTTATGAAGTGTGGCATGATTCTTAAAACTGAATGAAACTGTTTATGAGAAGGGGAAAAAGAATCCACCCTAGATACATTTATTTCTTTCTTAAGCTAGGGGATGGGAGGTGGATAAGAGGAAAGAGACAAATTGGAGATGTTCCTGTGAGCAGTAGGGCTCCCCATGGCTATTTGCTCCTTCCCCGTCCTCTTTCCGGAGCCCAGGGCTCGGCCGCGACTTCTCTGGAGCAGGCTCAGTCCTCTCCCTGGAGGAGAGGGCTTGTCCTGTCTTGCCAGGCTTAATGTACTTTCTGAATCCGTGCAAAAGAAAGAGACCAATTTTTCAGCTCCTAGGTGTGTGACGTTCAGTAACTTGGTGACGGAGGTTGCAGTAAAGCTGGGTCTGCTCCGTGGAAGAAAATGTATCATTATTTGGTGTTCTCCCCCATTGCCTTGGAGACAGTGAGGTAGGCGTAGAGAGAAACGTCCCTTCTGTCCCATCTCGGACGGGGTCTGGGAGGACTAGAAGAGAGAACGGAAGCTTCTGTGTTGGTTCCCAGCCCCTCGGCTCCTACCCTAGGGAGTAAGGCTGCTGGTCTCCTGGAGACGCCAACCGCTGGATGTTGGTTATCGGCTGGAGGAGTGCACAGCAGCCCCAGGCCAAGGATCAGAGTGTAGTAGCAGAGATGTCCCAGGTCCAGCTGAAGACGGGGGATCAGGCCCTGGCTGGTGTGGATTAGTGGACTCAGTGCCACCCTCTGATGTGAAAGGTTGCTGGTTTAATTCCAAGTCAGGGCACATGCCTGGGCTGTGGGCCAGGTCCCAGTTGTCGGTGAGTGAGAGGCAGCTGATTGATGTACCTCTCCCATGTTTCTTTCCCTCTCTTTCTCACTCCCTTCCCCTCTCTCTAAAAGTAAATAAATAAAATCTGAAAGAAAGAAAGAAAGAAAGAAAGAAAGAAAGGAAGGAAGGAAGGAAGGAAGGAAGGAAGGAAGGAAGGAAGGAAGGAAGGAAAGAAAGAAAGAAAGAAAGAAAGAAAGAAAGAAAGAAAGAAAGAAAGAAAGAAAGAAAGAAAGAAAGAAAGCAAGCAGGATCCAGACTCTGGTGGGTTCAGAATCACAGCCAGAAAGCTCCTCCCTATACTCACACCCCTCACCCCACCCGCGACTTACTCCCAAGCCCACTATTTCAGGGAGGGATCTAACCTGGCCCTTGGTTGACTGGCCCCCAGCTCTTAAAAGGCACAATAAGCCGTGAATTAGTGTCCTTCTAAGGCCCTTGTGAATTCCTTCACGAGGCGTCTATTGCGCCGCCTGCTGGTAGAGGGGAGCCCCACCTTGGCGCAATTCTTACTCAGATCCGGCTGATTTGCATATATCCGCATACTCTGGGGCTTCTCCGTTTTATTGTTATCATAAATGCATTGTCCAGAAGAAGAAAGACAAGTCTTATTTCACTACATCTTTTTCTCTCCTCTCCTCCATTCCTAGGGTCCAGAGCCGGCTGCTCCCCCGAGGTGCCTGCAGGTGTATGTGGTGGGAGAGGGCAGGAACCAGACTCCCGACAACCAGGGGTTTATGGGGCATTCTGCATGACTCTCCAGAAAACTTCCCCTGTAGGTTTGGCTCAGGGACAATCCCTGCGGAGCTTACAGAGTCTGCACTTCGTTTTAGCACCACGGGTCAGAGCCTCTGCGCTGAAGTCCCTGGATGGCCGGCACCTTAGAGACTGCCAAGGGGAGGGGACCTGGTTTTGAAGACAGGGGTGAGGGGTGACGGAGTGAAGACTCATTTTGAAAGGAAAGGAGTCCTGGGTCTCTAAGCAGCTTCTAAAAATACCATCTCCCAACGCTGGGGGTGGGGTGGGGGAGAAGAGCGAGCGTGAGCGGAATGAAGATGGGAAGGCGGCGGGGCTGGAAGAGTCCTTCAGGTAGACCCGATTTCAGGGCCCTGCCAGCGCTCAGGGGCTGACCCAACGCCACACCTCCTCCGCGTCCTCAGCCGGCTTCGGTCTCCCGTGGAGTGGGAGCCCCGGTCCTGCTGACGATCTGTCCACGGGCAAAGGAATCCAGTTCCTCCCAGTAGCTCTTATTGCTACTGCCCAGCAAGTGTGTCTGCGAGCAAGCAAGTGTGCTTGTAAATGTGCCACACACACACACATACATGCACAGAAAGGACACGTGAAAGCAGCTTGTACACGGCTAGCACTCCGCATTGCCAGAAAATTTCATCACACTCGGGGCTCAGGGAAGTGCGGACTGTGGCCGAGACGGGGCCCTCGGCCCGAGCGTCCGCGGCGCAGAGCGTGGGCCCCATCAGCTCTTGGCTGGAGGTGCGAGGGATACACACATACCAAGTGCACAGACACTCGAGTCACACAGGTCACGTAGACACCGGACTCCCATTCATTCTCAAGACGGCTCCAGCTGCGAAGGGAGAGAGAGGGGTTGGGTTCCCCCAAGCAAGGAGCTCCGAGAAGCCACAGGGTGGGTGGAGCCATCTCCTTTCAAGTGCAGCCCAGATGGTGGCGCTCAATAGCCGCCTCCCTCGTCCTGGAGGGCCCCAACCCTTCCCACACCAACGCCTTAAACCCTCAGCTTGCACATAAATGACCTTCACTAGGTAGAGGTCGTGTCCCACGTTTCCTCGTGGCTTCTTCGGCGCGGGCTGAACTCGGCGAGGATTGCTCCGCCTCGCTCACAGACGCTTAGTAGTCCCGGCTGCTGCACCCCTCACCAATGCCCTGGGGTGGACGGAGAGGGGTTAGCAAAGGGGGAGCTCCAGGCTCTGAGCAGATGGGGGCGGGGGGCACGGTTGGCTGTGGGCAGTGCTGCCTGCGTCCTGGCAGCAAGAGCAAGAACCTATGAAATCGATCATTCATGCAAAATCTACCAGCGCCCCATCCCGGCATAGGCATGGTTTCCAGCTTCGGAAGCATTCCTGGTAGGGTGGGACTCTTTCCCACTTTGCCCGCCTTTCTCGAGCAGCTCCTAGGGGTGGGCTTGGCCCCTTCCTCCAGCCGGTGTGTGTGTGTGTGTGTGTGTGTGTGTGTGTGTGCAGAGGGCAGGGAGAGAAGGGGGCGGGATCCAGCCAGGAGACCCCGGGAGCCGCAGACGCTGAAGAAGCCAAGGGCTGGGAGATAGAGGAGCTCCCGGATCCTGGGGGCAGGACATCAGGACCCCTGCAAGTCCTGGGAACAAGAGACCTTCCAGGCTAGTGCAGAGGCTGCAAGTGTCGCTGATTGCCCGAGTTTCGCCCCTTCTTAAGCCACGCCCACGTTCTCTACTTCTCAGCAAAGAGGGGCTGAGGTTGAGCGCTCTGGGCCACAGACACCCGCTCCCCCGCCTCCCCGGGAGTCCAGCCAGCGCTCAGCGCTGCCCCACCCCCCAAGGTTTGAAGATTGGAGGGACCCCTTCTTTTCCCCCTCCAGTTCGCGGTTCCGCCCCTGGCTTATGAAACTCCGCCCCTCCACCTTCTCCTGGCGGGGATTGGGGGAGCTCCAGCGGCCGTACCTAGCGATTGGTCCCCATGGCTGACGGTCACCGGTGAGGTCCCTCCCCGCGCTGGTGCGGGGGTCTGGGGGCGCTGCTCAGCGGGGCCCGGCTGGCGCGGCTTGAGCCGCCGCCGCACTGACAGCTTGGTCTGCGGACCATGGAGACCGGCGCTGGCCCACATCCGCTGCGCCTGCTCGTTTGCCTGATGCCACTTTCTCTTGCGTTGCTGCTGGGACCAGGGAGGCCCGGGACTGCCGAGGAAGGTGAGGAGACTGGAGGCTGTTCTTGGAGCCTGGGATGCCAAGAGATAGGGGCTGAAGAGCTGGAGCGCTGGTGGAGTCGTATGGAGAAACTGGAGTCTGTACTAGGGTGTGAAGCATGCGAGCAGCCAAAGCAAAAGAACTGGAGAGACAGAAAAAGGTGGCTAAGCAATGGAGAAGAGAGGGGCGTTGAGGAGCCCGGGGGCTGGAGACCGGGGAGGCTGGGGGAGAAAGAGACCGGGAACCGTGGGAGCCAGAGGCGGCGGTCCAGGGGCCGGTGAGACGGACAGGCTGAGCCACTGGAGGTGGGAGGTGTGGGGGCGGGGAGAAGAAGAGAGCAGAGGAGAAGGGAGATGCGGAGGTGAGATCGGAGTACGGGCGACGGGATGGAGCCCGAACAGCGGGGGCTAGGGGACCACGGTGCGGCCAGCTGGAGGCGGAGAGCTGGTGGTGGGTGGGGGAGCTTGGTCCGGGAGCTGCCCGACGTGCTGATCCGGGAGCTGTCCTCACCGCAGTGCTGAACTCAGAGGGTGTGCTACCCAGAGCTGTCCGCGTTGTCGGGTTTGCGGCTGTCCGCGGTGTCAGAGCCCGGGCCTTGCCTCTGATTCTGAATCTGGGGAGCTGTACGTTCAGCTGAATCCAGAGGCGTCATATCCAGGTGCAGAATCCTGAGGGGCTGGAATTTGAGGCTTCAGCTGCGAGGTTTGTAGGGGCGCTGGATTTCTGATGCTTTCCAATATGCAATTTCCGATGTAATGTCAGTTATACTGAAATCTGGATGCTGTGGGCGGCCTTGTCCACTGTCACTGATGCTTTGGGGGTCAGCCCTCTTAAAGGCCCTCACTCTGGAGCCCCATCCACTTGCTTAAGCTCCAGATGAGTAACCTGCCAAGATGTGGCGATGGCTGGGCCTCCTGCCTCTGAGCTGCTGCTGCGCTGCCCGGGCCCGTGCTTCTCAGACGGACACCGAGAGCAGAATTCAGACTGCTGGACCCATGCCTCCTGGGGGGGGGGGATGACTCCAAGCCTCTCCGGTGCAGGAGAAGTCATGCTTCTTATATATAAAAGGACCACTGACATTCCTTCAAAGGCAGGAAGTGGAGGTGACAGCCCCTGGGAAAGGAGCCGGATGAGGAAATGAGAGATTTTTATTTCCCCTGCTGCTAAGAGGATGTCTTCACTTCGTTTGCCACAGAGGCCCTAGAAGTCAAGTAAAAAGGTTCGAGATTCCTCTATGCTTGATGACCCCAGGCCCCAGAAGAGCCCCTGAGTCTGCATGGATTCTGGGCTGTACACAGGAATCTCAGACACACTCACTTTCTCCCTCTTCTTGATGCTCAGGTATAATTTAAGAAACCTGGGTATGCCGGGGCGGGGGGGGGTCACTGACAATGCCCCCCCCACCACAATTTTACAATCACCCTTAGAGTACTTACTGTGGCAGGCTGAATAATGACTCCTCCCATGTCCACGTCCGAATCCCCACACCCGTGAATGCTGTCCTAAATGGCAAAAGACTTTCCAGGTGTAATTAAGGATCCTGAGATGGAGAGATTACCCTGGACCGTTTGGATGGGCCTGGTGTCATTGCAATGGTCGTTATAAACGGGATGCAGGAGGAGTCAGAGCCACAGGAGAAGGCAATGTGCTGACAGAAGCAGAGACTGGGTGTGCTTTGAAGATGGAGGAGGGGGCCACAAGCCAAGGGGCGCAGGGGACCTCCAGAAGCTGAAGAAGTCAAGGGAATGGATCCTCCCTTCTGAACACCCAGAAGAAACCCTTCCCGCTGACGTCCTGACTTTAGGCCCATGAGACTGATTTCCAACTTCTGACGTCTAGAACCATAAGAAAATACATTTCTGCTGTTTCAAGCCACCAAATTGTGGTAATTTGTTGTAACAGCTCCAGAAAACTAATACAGGCCATCTCCCTAATCATGTAGCTACCTGTCCCTGGACGTGAGCTGCTCACATGCCCTCCTGGGGAATGTATGGGGTGAGAAAAACTTGTCTGTGTCCTTTGTCACATTCACCAACCCCTCAGGCAGCAAATTTTCAGTGAACTCACCTAAGGGTCCACCATCCTGACCTTCTGGGCTTCTGACATCTCTGTTCTTCCCTCTCCCTAGTCATCCTCCTGGACTCCAAAGCCTCCCAGGCTGAGTTGGGCTGGACTGCATCGCCGAGCAATGGGGTGAGTGTGATCCTTTCCCTCCCTGCCCTGAGGATCCTGTGGTGGCCCAGGACTCAGGCCCTTTGGCTCCCCCTGGTTCCATCAGATCAAAATGCTCCTCGGAACACATGAGCTGCGACAGCCCTGGCTTCAAGCCAGCGTCGCCTATTAGGAAATGTTGAGTCTTAAGCCAGACAGTCAAAATAAGCACATAACTACAAAAGCGTAAGTGAGGAGAGCACTGGCCGTGTCTAGGAATAGGATGTGGCCTCTGGATGGAGCCAATGCTGGGCGGTGCCTTTGACACAGGAGATCCTCTAAGCAGTGTTGCTGACAGATGGATTGATTGATGGAACAGGTGGGGCTCGGAATCCTGAAAAAGGAGTGGAAACAAGGTGCAAGTGGGGCGATGTGGCCATGTGGCCACGTGACAGTAGCTTGGTATGGTGGAGAGGGCCCTGGGTGGAGAGCAAGAGACTCCAGCCCCCACTTCTACCTCTGTTACCAACTCCATGTGTATATCTAGTCAAGTCTCTCCCACTCTGGAGCCTCAGTTTCCCCATCTATAAAGTGAAAAATTGGACTTGGTTGTCTCCAATGTTTCTCCTGGCTTTGCATCCCATAATTTCAGAGGTCTAGTGAGTGGAGGGGGCCGCTGGGGTTAGGCGGGAGAGGAGAAAGCGGTGTGATGGGGCAGGGGGGTTGCAGCCTGTGTCACCGCCCGGACTCTAACTACCGGGGGCACCTCGGCCCTGAGCTGCCAGCGTCTTTGCTCCTCCTCAGTGGGAGGAGATCAGCGGCATGGACGAGCACGACCGCCCCATCCGCACGTACCAGGTGTGCAACGTGCTGGAGCCCAACCAGGACAACTGGCTGCAGACCGGCTGGATCGGCCGCGGCCGCGGGCAGCGCATCTTCGTGGAGATGCAGTTCACACTGCGCGACTGCAGCAGCATCCCTGGCGCCGCGGGCACCTGCAAGGAGACTTTCAACGTCTACTACCTGGAAACTGAGGCCGACCTGGGCCGCGGGCATCCCCACCCAGGCAGCAGCCGGCCCCGCAAGATCGACACGATCGCAGCGGACGAAAGCTTCACTCAGGGCGACCTGGGGGAGCGCAAGATGAAGCTGAACACGGAGGTGCGCGAGATCGGTCCGCTCAGCCGGCGGGGCTTCCACCTGGCCTTCCAGGACGTGGGCGCATGCGTGGCGCTGGTCTCCGTGCGCGTCTACTACAAGCAGTGCCGCGCTACCGTGCGGGGCCTGGCGGCGTTCCCAGCCACCGCGGCCGAGAGCGCCTTCTCCACGCTGGTGGAGGTGACCGGGACGTGCGTGGCGCACTCCGAGGGGGAGCCCGGCAGCCCTCCGCGCATGCACTGCGGCGCGGACGGCGAGTGGCTGGTGCCCGTGGGCCGCTGCAGCTGCAGTGCGGGATTCCAGGAACGCGGTGACATCTGCGAAGGTATCCAGCGAACTAGGGGGCGTGTCTTGGGAGTGAAGCGCGCAGGTGGCAGCTGGGAGAGGGAGAGTGCCCTGGGCGAGAGAGGCGGGCCGGGGGAGTGGAGGAGCCGTGGGCTGTGGAACCCAGAAATCCTGAGCTTTTGTGGGGGTTCAGTGGGTCCAGCTGGGACCAGTGAGTGAAGTTACTAGGAGGTGAATTGACTCCATATAAGGGGGCGTTACAGGCCTATAGTTCAGGCAGTGGGATGAGTACCTCACACAGGCCCTCTCCTTTATTCGGGGCAATAAAATATGTCATCATTATCTCCATTTCGCAAATGAGGAAACAGAGGCTCAGAGAGGTTAATACCTTGCTTGCAAAGTTAGGAAATGGGAAACCAGGATTTGAATCCAGATTTGCTCAACTCTTAAGCTCTGTCTATTAATTACACTATGGTGCTTGCCCTGTGCATGAGGAAGAGCGCTGCAGCAGCCCCACCCCACCAGCTGTTGGCTAGCGTGGTGATTTTCAACCCGTTCGCCGCGAGAATTGCTGCAAGAGACACACTGGTGCGCCACAAGAGTTCTTTAAAACATGAAATACCTGACTATTTAGTCAGGAGCACTGACCTCTTTTCCCCTAGATTATCAAATTAAAAAAAAAAAATGAGACCAGCCAACACAATAATAGCTATCTGGTGTGAATGAATAAAAATTATACCCACTTTTGTCAGATCAGCAATAAATATATTTTTGGTGTGCCACAAAATTTTAGTAGCTAGTTCGTGTGTGCCGTGAGATGACAAAGGTTGAACATTGCTGGGCCAGTGGGATTTGTCACATTGTAGGGAATGGGCTGCCCGGCCCTGTCAGAGGCAGGCAGGCGGAGGAGAGGGGGTGGGAGAGAGAGAGAGAGAGGGTGACAGGGAGGCTGGCTTAGCCCTGGATGGCTACTGATATCCCGCCCACCTCCCTGAACCAGAGAGTCACCGTGCTCCCTGGGGGAGACCCTCTGTGTCGGGGGTTCTGTGGTGGCACCAGGGACAGACCCCTCTTTCTCTTCCATATTGGTGGAAGCCTGAGGGTAAGGAGGGGTTGTGGATGTTTGCACTGAACGGAGAAAGATAAAATGGTGTTTTTGTTTTTGTTTTTTAAAAAGCCATGCCATTTTCTGGGTGCCAGGACAACAGAAATTAATGAGGCATAGTCTTTTAAGAAGCTCATAGCCTAAATTTAAAAATCACAACAGGGTGATATATGCCGTAATAGAGGGATTAACACAGTGGTGGGAAGACACGGGGTGGGGGGGGGGAGGTAAGGAAACTCATTGCTCTCATTTCTTCATTCAATCATGCACTCATTTTGAATTGAGAACATAACATCTGCATTTATTAAGGGTTTATGGCACGTATACAGATAAGTGTCACTGTCTCTTCCCTGGGGGAACATATGGCTTAGTAAGGGATTTGGGGACGTGAGCCTTCCTGAGCTCTCCAGGTGGAGTTAGGATCCTCCTCTGTGCCCTCCAGCACCCACTGCAACCTGTATGTCTGCACCTGCCCCATGGTATGCAGTGTTCTGCTTGGGTGTGTTTCCACCGCTGGACTAGGAACTTCTTGAGCTCCGGCAATGGGTCATATCGGTCTCAGCAGCTCCCATGCCCATAACAGGATTTGGTATATATGGTAGATTCCCCCATGGAAACATATCAGGTGAATGAGCGGTTACCATGGGGTGTGATATGTATCAACAGAGAGCTGGGGGCGGGGGCAGAAGAAGGGAGAACCCAGCTCTAAGGGTGGAGACAGATGGCAAGAAGGCCTTTCTTTCAGGCAGCTAAGAGCATTCTGAGTTCAGAGACTGCATGCTGAAGCACGGAGGCAGGAGAGAGTGTAGCACGCTTGGGGCTGGGCAAGTCAGTGTGGCTGGGGCAGAGGGCATCTGGGGGTGGGAAGGGTGATGGAGCTGGAGGGCGGTAGGGGCAGATCATGAAGCGTCTCGAATGTTGGGACAAAGAGCTTAGACTTTATGCTTTAGACCATTGGGGAGAATTTGAAGCAGGAATCTAACATATTCTGATTCGTATTTTCAAAAGCTCAGTCAAGTGACAACCCAAAAGAAAGGACTAGAGAAGGAGGAATTAGAGGCCAGAAGATGAGGAAGGAAAGTAATACCATAGTCCAGGAGGAAGAGCGCGAGGCCTGAACCAAGGTTGTAGCAGAGATCACTGGGAGATGAGGACGGTTGTGATAGGGAGACGGCATCCACAGCCCTGGTGACCAGGGGGCACAGCAGGAGACAGGGGTCCTTTTCTATTCGTATGCTTCTGGAGAACTGAATGGACAGAGGGCCGTACAGTGGGATAGAGAACACAGGATGTAGGTAGACACATTGAATTTATGTGTCCATGGTGCATTCAAGTGGAGGCAGCTAGAACGTGGGTCTGGAGCACAGCAACAGAGAGCTGGATGCTTCTTGAAACTGTGGGTGTGGTTGGGAGAGACCAGTGAGAGTGTGTGGGGTAAGGAGCGAGAGGACCGATGAAGATGGAGTCTCACAGAACAGCCATAGTCAAGGGGAAGTAGAAGAAATGGAGCCCGTAAAAAAGGCAGTGGTCCTTCTATCTGCAAATTCGTGGTAGCCAAGGGAGAGGGAGGTGTCTGGGAGGGAACAGCTGACAGTGTTGGGGAGCCGTCAGGTAAGGCGAGGATGGGACAATGTCTTCTTGGGGACAGCAGTCTCAGCGGAGCGACCAGCTGCAGCAGGACAAAGGATGAAGGAAGCCGAGGAGCTAGAGTCCGGATGTAAACAGCTCTCCGGGAGGCTGGACTGGAAAGGGGAGGGGAGGGGCTTGTATCCTGAGGACACTGGGCGGGTTGAGGGTGGATGTTTACTGTAGGTGGGAGAGCCTTGGTTATTGATGAAGGAGCCAGTGGGGTGCCAAGATGCGGGTGGTGGGAGCAGTCTGCCTCAGGGGGAAGCATTTTACTACTGCTATGGGTTAGAATGGCTGGCACGTGTTGCTAATAAAAGCAGGCCATGTTTCAGTCAGTTGTACTGTTTTTAGACACTTTCTAGACAGTGTCCTATTGTCTGTACCCTCAGTGGACGGCTTTTATTGCCCCAGCCCATGTTCTGCCGTGGGAAGAACCAGGAGAGAAGGAGAAGTGTGGGAGTGTGGAGGTCAGGTGCCTGATGGAATGGAGGCTGCGAAGGTGGGGCCCAGACTGGAGGATCCACTGGGCTTGGGAGGACGGAGGAGAGGGAAGGCGGGTGTGGATGGCGGTGTTTGTGGGTTTGATGGCCAGACCTTGAGGGAATTACCAACCAATGGCCTCTCTTCTTCTTCTAAGGTGGGAGGAGGGCATTTGTACCAATGGACAGGAGGAACATGGTCTGTTTTATTTACTGTTGTGCCCCCAGAGCCTAGAACAGCACCTGGCTCATAGTAGACGCAAAAAAAAAATTTTTTTTTTGAATGAATGGATCAGGGCTGGAGGGGGAGGTGTAGGTCCATGCTTTAGACAGCCACACAGGCACACACACAGCACACTCAGCAACCAGTCCCACGCTGGAGCTGGGCTGAATTCCCTCTCCTTAAGCGGGGACCAAAGGCCCCTTGTAATGGCATCAGCCCTACCATGGGGAGTGGGGCGCTAGGGAGGCTGCCAGGGAAAGCCTCACAGGTAGGTATTATTTTTTTTAAACAATCTTTTCTTTTAAAGATTTTTATTTATTTATTTTTAGAGAGGGAAGGGAGGGAGAGAGAGAGAGAGAGAGAGAGAAACACCAATGTGCAGTTGCTGGGGGCCGTGGCCTGCAACCCAGGCATGTGCCCTGACTGGGAATCGAACCTGCAATGCTTTGGTTCGCAGCCCGCACTCAATGCACTGAGCTACGCCAGTCAGGGCGGTAGGTATTATTTTGAACTTGGGTTTGGAGAAGCTTAGGAGTTTGCCAGGAGAGAAAGGGTGTAAGACATTACAGGACAAGACCCAGAGGGGAGAAGGGAAGAGTTCAGTGTGGCAGGGGCAGGGTGATGGTGGTGGGGACCTGCTGGAGGTTTTTAAGAAGGGGAGTGAAATGGTCAGAACCGTATTAAGAAGTGAGAGCCTTTCAAGTGCCTTCTGTAGCCAAGCGAGCCTGTTCCTCTCTAAAGGTGCACAGATGTGGAAACACAGCAAAGATAGCCTCTTTGTTTCTCTTTCGTAATTTCATGCTTGTTTCCCCTCCCCAGCCACTAGAAGAATTATTGAAAGACTTGGGGAGAAAACTTGGGTGCATGACCTGTGTCTTCAAATCTCTATAAAACTTCCTAGGAGCAGAGGAATGCCAGCAGATGTCCCGTAAGGCTCCACAGGGCACACTGAGACCCGTGATGGGGTGGCACCGGGGGATCACAGATAGGGAGGCTGATGGGGGCACAACAGCACCTTCTAACGGCCAGCATCATTCAGCAGAGGCGGCCTCAGAAGGGGGTGGCCACTGCAAGGGAAGCTGTGGAGGACTCTGCCAGTCGAACTGATGGCCTCTGAAATTCTGACTCTGACCCTGAGGAAGAGAGGGAGGGGCTGGCAGTCAGGAGCCCCTTCCTGAGCCTGCTCCTCCACACAAACCTCTTACAAACCCAACCTCTCCAAGTGGAGATGACCAATGCTGTCTGTGACGGGACCACCCGCCTCTGGGACGCGTGTCCACGTACACACAGAGAAGGGGAGCCTCCGGCGTTCTTTCCCTACAGCAGTGAGACCCGCAAACAGATAGCCTCTCTTATTTTACAATGGAGGTGGGCAGGCTATGGTTGCTATTTTTATCTGACCGAGGGTTTCTTGAGGCCAGGAAGGCAAAGGAAGTGGCAGAGCTAACACTGGAACCCAGGACCTCTGAGTCCCAGCTGGGGTCGCTGCTGCTCACCAGACCACAGACCCCAAAGTCAGTGGGTCCCATGCTTTGCTCTGAAGCAGAGACTTCCAGAGACTCCTGGGCTGCCGAAGCCCTGCCCCAGCGCTGGGTTGCCCCAGATTCCAGGCAAGAGGGACCCTCCCAAGACCAAGCCTTCCAGAGGATGGAGACCTTCAGCTCTTCCCCTCTTCTCCCAGGCAGCCTGGAAGTTCTTCCCAAGGACTAGTCTGTAACCCCACCTTCTTGGGGCTGGAGAGCAGCCAGCCTCCCATAACCATCTAAGTTGCAGTGGAGGGGCAGAGAAGTGCTGGCGGAGCAAAGGGATGATGTGAGAACCTCCCAGGCCCTGAGAGGAGGGGCCAGGAGCCGCTGCCTCCTCCCCTGGCCCAGCTGGTGAGACTTTTCTTGCAGTGGGTGTGCAGGTTTCCACTTCAGGCTTGTGATGGAGGAACAGTGATTAGTGCCATCGTTGTGTAAATGTGGTCTCTACTTGGCTAAGCAGTTTACTTGTTTTGTCTCAGTTAATCCTCCAACAACCTTTTGGAGGTATTATTCTACACAAGGCTCAGAGAGGTCCATCAACCTGTCGAAGGCCACACAGCAAGTAAGTGTGACTTAGCCGCAAACCCAGGTTGCTTAGTCATAAAAGCCTGTGCTTTAACAACAGGTGTTCTGGTGGAGGAGAGAGGAGAAGCAAAGTAACTTCGGAGGTGTCAAGACCTGAAGCAGGGACACGCCACTGTCCCTCCCTCTTCTCCACTCCCCTCCCCTCCACCTGGCTGGCCCCACGTTCAAACTGGAAGCAAGTGTGCGGTTCCAGGATTTACACGCATTGATCCCGAAGAGTGGTGGGAGGATGAGCTGTGACAACATGTGTGTGTCAGAGGGTCTGTCTCTGTGTTTCTGGCAGTGTGTGGGTGTCTGTCTGTCCCTTGGTAGCTGCAGAGGCGCCTCTCTTGTGTCCTGGCACCCAAACTGGAAAGTTGGGCCCATTTCCCTCCGGCGGGCACTGGGGCTGCAGAACCGACCTGCTGGGGGCGGGATCCCAGGTTTACTAGGTGTGGGACGTTGGGCGAGTTACCTAACCGCTCTGAGCCCTAGTGCCCTCATTTAAAAAATGGGGATAAAGCACATACCTCACGGGTCGTTGTGAGGACTAAAAGAATTGCTAGAAGTAAAACGGTCCAGTGTGCTAACACGCGTTAAGCTCTTACTAAGGAAGGGTTAAGTGGTGTGGGGTTGTGTAGTCGGGAACTGCCACCCCACAGGGCGGTCCTGGAGTAGCTGAGACCCTCGCCGCTTTCCCCACCGCAATCAGAGGCGGTTCGCCCCACCCTAAGGAGGACAGGCGGAGGGGGGCGGGGGAGAGGCTGTGGAGGAGCCCACTCTTCACGCGGCCCCTCCCGGCAGCCTGCCCCCCAGGGTTTTACAAGGTGTCCTCGCGGCGGCCCCTCTGCTCGCCGTGCCCGGAGCACAGCCGGGCGCTGGAAAACGCCTCCACGTTCTGCGCCTGCCTGGACAGCTACGCGCGCTCGCCCACTGACCCGCCCTGGGCCTCCTGCACGCGTGAGTCCCCCTCCAGAACGCTTTGGGGAGGTGGGAGAGGGGCGGTTAATAAAGTCGGATCAAGTGTTGGTGAGGGCAGGGAGGGTGAAGAAAGGCTTGCGGGCCTGCGACAGGAATGGAGGTGGGGGAGCCGGGGTGGGGGTGGGGACCGGGGTTTGGGTGGGAGGAACAAGAAAAGCGGAGAATTCCGACAGCGGGAGGAGGTTGGGCTTCTAGGCAGGTCCCTGGGTGGACGGGCCCCATGCGCCCGACCTCCCCTCGCCTCACTCTCCAGCTGGGGGGCGGACTCACACCCCTCGCACTTTGCTCTCGGTCCCCATCCCCCCGCCCTCGTCCCCTCACTAACCTCCGCCCGCCCCCTCACTGGGCGCTCCCACACCCTCCCCCGTCCCTGGTCCCCGCCTCCCCCTCCTTGGCCGCTGCCCCCTGCCGCCCCCTGGCCGCGCCAGCCCCGCGCTGCCCCTGACGGCGCCCGCACCCTGTGCCGCCGCAGGGCCGCCGTCCGCGCCGCGGGACCTGCAGTACAGCCTGAGCCGCTCGCCGCTGGCGCTGAGGCTGCGCTGGTTGCCGCCGGCGGACTCGGGCGGCCGCTCCGACGTCACGTACTCGCTGCTGTGTCTGCGCTGTGGCCGCGAGGGCCCAGCGGGCGCATGCGAGCCGTGCGAGCCACGCGTGGCCTTCGTGCCGCGCCAGGCCGGGCTCCGCGAGCGCACCGCCACGCTGCTCCACCTGCGGCCCGGGGCGCGCTACACCGTGCGCGTGGCGGCGCTCAACGGTGTCTCCGGCCCGGCGGCGGCCGCCACGGGAGCCACCTACGCGCAGGTCACGGTCTCCACCGGGCCAGGGGGTAAGGCCGCCCCCGCGTGCGGGGACCTCTCTGCGCGCCCGCCCCTTCCACCCCCCAGCCTCCCCCGGCCGCCCCGTCTCTCCCCGGGATCAGCCTCACAGGCCCCAGACACTCCAGAGAATCCACCACAATCGATGCTAACGCCACCGAAAACAAGCGCCCAGCGTCTGTCCAGGAGACAAGTGACCCCCCAAATCCCCGACCCCCGGTAATCCCACCGAGGGTCGAACCCCTTCTGGAAGGCCAGGGGGAGGAGGCGAGGATGTGAGGATGAGGTTTAGGAGAGTCGGTGGAGGCCCAGGCCAGGCCGCTCAGTGGGTGAGAGCGTCTTCCGGAGGTACCTCGGCTGCCAGTGGGTCCTGTCGGTCAGGGCACCTGCAACAAGCATCGAACGAATGCTTACATAAGTGGACAGCACATCGAGGTTTCCTCTCTCTCTCAAATCAATATATAAAATAAAATAAGGCCCTGGCTGGCGTAGCTCAGTGGATTGAGCGCAGGCTGCAAACCAAAGCATCGCAGGTTCGATTCCCAGTCAGGGCACATGCCAGGCTTGCAGGCCACAGCCCCCAGCAACCGCACATTGATGTTTCTCTCTCTCTTTCTCCCTTCCTTCTCTAAAAATAAATGAATAAATATTTTTTAAAAATAAAATAAAGAGTGGGTGGGAGTTGGTGGGCGCTTCCCAGGCTCCTGACTGCACAGAAAGTCTTCGTCCTACACCCAGCTCCGCAGTTGTCCCGCCTCTGCCTTCCCAGGTGAAAAAGGTGGAACGTTCCTCAATCTTTTGTCATATCTGTAACAGTAGGAAGCAGACCCACCGTCCTGCTGTGTCCCGGAGGGGTCCTCCATCGGCCAGCCTCCCCAAGGCTTTTGTGGGCGGGTCAGCCTCTTTCCTGGCCCCGGAAAGAGCGAGGGAGCACGTTGGGCGGACTGCAGGGGCCTAGAATCCACTGGTCAGAACGTAGCAGTCACATTTCTGAGTCTGGAACTGAGATGATTAAATAAAGATCTGCCACCCTTTCACACCACACCGTCCTCATTCTTGCAGTTACTTTTGATTTGTCTCTCATTCATCTGGGGCTCACCTTCATGTCTCCTTTGCAAGAAGGAAGAGTGGTTTGGTTTCTGTTTTTTCATATCTGAGAAGATATAATTGGTTTGTCACTCAGCTGCCCTACCTTCCAGTGGTTGTACCTGAAGAGAGTCTGAGGCCAGGGTTATTTTCATCCTTTTGTAAGTAACCTGGAGACTATACATATGTGTGTACACACACACACACACACACACACACACAGATGTGTGTGTCATTCTTAACCTACCAATGAAAGTAAAATTTAACTAGCATCACTCTTTTTTCATTGAGTTTGGCTGGAACATAGTAAAACCTTTGATCTGCACACTTTTTTTTTTATTCCTGGAAAAAAAATTTTTAGTTATTGCCTTGACCAGCACTTCTGGTAGCTCCAATATTATTTTTAAGACTCTCTCTAAGCCTTAGGTTGTACACCCATTTTCTGATTCTCAAAGCTTGTCACTTCCTTTATCATTTTTAGCCCTTAATCCTTTTCCTCTGCTTTTGGGGAGAGATTGCCCAATTTGTCTGGTTTTCTGGAACATCAGTTCTGGTTTTTTACAGTCTCCGTTGTGACGTAACATTTGCTATTGCATTTACATGAACAAATTCGGTATGGGAAGAAAGCACCCCTAATTCCATGACCCAGAGACACACACACAGTGCTGCTGTCTCGGAGTATATCCTTCCACCTCGTCGTCGTCTCTGTCTCTGCACCGAGGGCCACCTGCTAAAAAAAACCCCTTTTGTATAATTCTGTGTGCAGTACAGTGTTTTATCTGGTATTTCACGTTAACCACCCTGTTGCTTTGATAGAGATGAGTTCAGAAATAAGGAAATACTCTCTATTTTTACTTGTTGATAAAAATACTAAGCTTCCACTGGTTGAGTGCTGCCGCGTGTCTGGCATCGTGCAACGTGACTTCCTACGTTAACTCACTGAAAGGGGATGACAGTCATTTCTCAAACAGTGACACGAGGTCTGAGAGGCCCCGAGAAGTGTCCCCGTCAGTCAGCTAGTGAGTAGACGCCCATCCTTGAATTCGGGTCTGTCTGCCGCCAAAGCCCCTTGGCCATATAATGCTTCTCCTTTTAAGTGAATTTTTTTAAAAATCAGGAATGGATGTTAATTTTATAATTTTAATGCTGCCTCTCAAGCATCTTCTAAGATGACCACATGTTTTCATCTCCTTTGACCTATTGGTGTGACAAATTCTGTTAATGGGGTTTTCAATGTGAACTCTCTCAACATTTTTAGATGATACCCTACTGGATATAATTGCATTATTCTTTTAATATTTTGCTGAATTTGTTTGAATTTTAATATTTTTCTCCATCTACATACATAAGAGAGATTTTTGTAGTGTTTTTTATTGTGTTCTTTATCACGTTCTAGCAGTATGGTAATTCTGGCTTTGGAAAAGCCATCAGGAGTAATCTGTTCTTTTTTTCTGCTCTGGAACAATTTAAATAGCACAATTATACATTCTTTGAAGGCGTGCAAAACTAGCTGAGTAACTCTGGGAACTGCACCATTTTGGTGGGGGGCAGTTTGATGTAATTCTCAATCTTTAAAGTACCCCAATATTTAAAGTTCTCCCCCGGCACCATACACAGTTGCTGCCATATAATGGACTGTATTCCCTGTGCTGCACTTTACATCCCTGTGACTATTTTGTTTCTACCCATCTGTACTTCTGACTCCCTTCAGCTTCTTCAGCCAGCCCCTTACTCCCCTTCCCTCTGGCAGCCATCAGTTCCTTCTCTGTATCTATGAGTCTGTTTCTGTTTGTTTACTTTGTTCTTCAGATTCCGCATGAGTGAAATCATGTGGTATTTTTCTTTCTGTTTGACTTATTTCACTTAGTATAATACTATTTAGATCCATCCATGTTGCTGCAAGTGGTAAGATTTCATTCCTTTTTATGGCCTAGTAATATTCTATTGTATGTATGTACCACAGCCTTTTTATCCACTTGTCTGTTGATAGGCACTTGGGTTGCCTCCATATCTTGGCTATTGTAAATAACGCTGCAGTGAACGTAGAAGTGCATACATCTTTTCAAATTAGTGTTTTGGATTTCTTTGTATATATTCCCAGAAGTAGAATTGCTGGGTTGTAAGGCAGTTCTATTTTTAATTTTTTGAGGAACCTCCATATGGTTTTCCACAGTGGCTGTACCAGTCTGCATTCCCACTAACATCGCACTCCAGCATTTGTTGTTTGTTGGTTTATTGATGACAGCCATTCTCACAGGTGTGAGGTGATATGTCATGTGGTTTGAATGTGCATTTCTCTGATGATTAGTGATCAGATGTTTAGCTTCTTTGCATATGTCTATAGGCAACTCTCTATGTCCTCTTTGGAGAAGGATCTGTTCGGGTCCTCTGCCCATTTTTTAATTAGATTTTTTTTGGTGTTGAGGAGTATGAGTTCTTTATAAATTTTGCTGTGGCTATTCAGGGTCTTTGTGGTGCCATGTAAATTTTCACCTTATTCTAGTTTTGTGAAAAATACCATTTTTGATATTTTGATAGGGCTTGCATTGAGTCTGTAGATTGCTTTGGGTAGTGTGGACATTTTCATGATGTTAATTCTTCCTACCCATGAGCATGGTGTATGCTTCCATTTATTTCTATCTTCTCGAATTTCTTTCTTTGATGTTTTATAATTTTTTGAGTACAGGTCTTTTACCTCCTTGGTTAAATTTACTCCTAGATATTTTATTTTTTTGTGATGCAATTGTAAATGGGATTGCTCTCTTTATTTCTCTTTCTGATAATTCATTATCGGTGTATAAAAATGCAACTGACTCCTGAATGTTTCTTTTGTATCCTGCTACTTTGCTGAATTCATTGAACAGTTCTAGCAGTTTTTTTGGTGAAAAAAATATGTAGTATTTTTGTTATGTAGTGTCCCCCTCTCCTCTTCCCTTTCTTTTTTCTTTTTTTGAAATTTATTGGGGTGACATTGGTTAATAAAATTCTATCGGTTTCAGAATTCTTTTAAAGATTTTATTTATTTCTTTTTTAGAGAGGGAAGGGAGGGAGAAAGAGAGAGAGAGAGAAAAAAACATCAATGTGTGGTTGCCAGGGGCCATGGCCTGCAACCCAGGCATGTGCCCTGACTGGGAATTGAACCTGCGACATTTTGATTCGCGGCCCGAGCTCAATCCAGTGAGCTACACCAGCCAGAGCAGGTTTCAGAATTTTATAGGTGGTAAGTAGGCACATCCTTCCCATCCAGAGCAGAAAATGAATGGTTTCTTCCTTGTAGGTATCTTTTTCAGAGCAAGAAAGCTTTTCCAGAATCACCCTCCCCTTAGCTGATTTCTCCTTTTGTCAGTCAGAGCTGGATTGCAAGTCCGACCCTAATGCAATCGTTGGCAAAGGGAATGAGTGCACACAGATGTCTGAGCACCATCGGAGTTAACCTGAGTCATCTGGGGGGAGACACTAGATTCTGAATCAAAAGCTGCACTCAGCCACCAGGGGCACGTGGCTGTCGCCCAGGTGTCCAATAGCGCCTGCTGCACTCTTGGCTCCGTAGGGGTGCTGGGTGAATCTCAACACGCATCTGCAGTGGGAGAACATGTGCTCAGACTCTCTATTTAGCTCCATCCTCAGGATTTATGAGGCTTCCATCTAATCTCTGAGGGGCTGAAATGGAACCTTCTCTTACTTCTGTATCCCAGCCATCTGATGCTGTCAACAAGTGTAGTTTTCAAAAATGACATTCCTAGCCTCTTCCTATCTGTGCCGCCCATCTGTATCTGTAAGGGACTGTGCCACCTCCTAGGGCACTTCATCACCTTGCTCCCCGTCATGCCTCTCGTCTCTTCTGGGAGCTGCCATGTCCGAGTGGGTGTGGGCTGAGAGGCACTCCACGGGGGAAGGATGAGCGCTTTTCCTCAAAAGCAACCATGCAGTCAAGCGACAGCCATGCATTGTCCAGTTGACAAAGACCTTGCTATTTTTTGAGGGTCAGACAGTGGGAGGAAGGATACAGGACCTTTCAAATTATTTTTAGGCTGGGAGGCAATGTCACTCTGTGGGCAGCTTAGCCTGGGGTTTACTACAATTGCACTTTTCAATCGAGTCCCACTGGCTTTATCACGGGCAGAAATAGGCCTCTCCACTCCTCCTCTGCCCTCCCCTGTTCTGGCAATCTGCTGTCAAGAGTAGTTTATGGTGACGTTCTGGGTTTTTGACTCTCTCTGCATCTCTGTTTTAACTGAAATTCAAGAAAAGCCAGAGGTGGAGCTGCTAGACGGGTACCATTCAAAACTGGGAGCCATGTTAACATACTCTTCAAGGAGCGAGCTACATGTGCCCTGTCCCCACTCCCTGCGCCCCTCACCACCTGCCATCAACTCCCCTTTCATCCCCTGCAGTCACTAGGGACCTCGCATTGTTAAAGCCAGAGGGCATTTTGAATCATCATCTTACCCCTGTCTCTTCTCAGCATGTGACACTGCTGACCACTGGCCCCTCTTGTTGGCAGCCCGTATCGGGCACTCATTCTGTGCCAGCATTGTGCTTACGCTCTTCTACTCGTTCCTTGATAACACTCTCACAGCAAGCCTGTGAGCTGTCACCATTGTTTCTCTTCTGTGGATGCGGAAACCAAGGCTCTCGCTCATGGGCCCAGAGCTAATAACCGGAAGAGGTGGGAGAGAAGCTTCTTAAACGTTCTCCTCTGGGACCTCAGTGGCTCTTGGTTTTCCTCCAACCTCTCTGGCTCCTCCTTTTCAATGCCCTCTTCATTTGCCTGCCTCTTTTTTTTTTAAACTTTCAATACCTTATTTTTTTAAACATGTTTTTGTTGTTGTTGTTCAAGTACAGTTTTTTGCTTTTCCCTCCCCGCTCCCCACCACCCAGCCCTCCCCATGCCTGCCTCTTAAATGTTGTTTTTTTTTCCTTGGGCTTATTTCCTAAAAACTTCTCCTCTTCTCTGGGCAGTCTCATCCAATCACTTTCCAGTGGCTCTTAGGTCTTCACCTTCCTCCCAGACACCTTTTGTGAGATCTGGGATCACCCAGCTGCCTCTCTGGCATCCTCTCCCGGAACCCCCTGGGCTCCACACACTGAAGTGAAGTCCTGTCTTTCCACAGTAACCTGGTGTGGTGCCTGTCTTCTTAGCTAGGCATGAGTGCCTGTTGGCTTGATTCTTTAATGTTCTCCATTGACATCAAGTTTATTCCTGAGTATTTTATTCTTTTTAATGTTATTGTAAATGAAGTTTTTTCCTTACTTTCCTTTTCAGACTGTTCGTGGTTAGTATGTAGAAATGCAATAGGTGTTTGTGTGTTGGTTTTGTGTCCTGCACCTTTGCTGTATTTGTTTATTAGTTCTAACAGGATTTTTTTGTGTGTGGAGTCTTTAGGGTTTCCTCTATATAAGATCATGTCACCTGTAGACAGAGATAATTTTACTTCTTCCTTTCCAATCTGTATTTCTTTTATTTCTTTTTCTTGCCTAATTGCTCTGGCCAGGACTGCCAATACTATGTTGAAACAAAGTGGCAAGAGTCGACATCCCTGTCTTGTTCCTGATCTTAGAGGGAAAGCTTTCCACCTTTCGCTGTTGAGTAAGATAAGATGTCGGCTGTGGTCTTTTCAGATGTGGCTTTTATTATGTTGAGGTAGTTCCCTTTTATTTCTAGTGTGTTGAGTATATTACCTCTTGACCAGATCATTACAATAGTTTAGCTGGTCTTCCTGCCTCTTGTGCTCTCTAATGTCTCTAAACCACAGAAAATGTGGGAAGAGCCGGACAGGGATTAGAACCAGCCACCGTGAGGGGACCTAGAGTGTAGGGGATGGGCAAGCAGCAGGAGCCCTGGCGCTTTCCCCACTAGGAGCTACTGAAGTGGAGAGCTGTGTGGGGGGTGAAAGGGGCCTCCTCTGCTCTCACTGACTCTACCCCTCAGGCCCCGCCCCTTAGGAGCCTACTGCCCCACCCACAGTTGCTTCAGCCTTGCAGCTGTCACCCCTAGCCCCGCCCCCAATCCCCAGTGCCAACCGCTCCAGCCCCACCCCACAGCCGGCCTTGCCCTGCAGGCCTGGTCAAAAATCCCACATTACTTACTTTCAGGGCCGTGGGAGGAGGATGAGATTCGCAGGGACCGAGTGGAACCCCAGAGTGTGTCCCTGTCCTGGCGGGAGCCCATCCCCGCTGGAGCCCCTGGGGCCAATGGCACAGAGTATGAGATCCGCTACTACGAGAAGGTGAGTCGGGGTCTGGGAGGAACCTGGCACTGCATGCCCCGTTGCTGTCCCCCTTGCCCACCTGCTTCCTCCTCTCCGCCGTCTCCTCCCAGCAAGAGCCCTCCTCACTTTCTTTCTAAGCGTTCCCACTGGCCGCCCAAGCGGCCTTCCAGGCTGCAGTTCCTTCGTGTCCCTTGCCTGCCGTGGGCTCCTCCGCTCTTCCTGTTTCCCTCCCATCTCCGCTCCGCACCAGCCACCACCTTCACTCTCACCGCTTCTGCCCAGCGCTTACAGTTGACAAAGAGCTTTCTCCGGGGGCAGGTCCAGATTTTGTGTGCCCGAACGGTAGACATACAAATTGGCAATTCTTTTAAGAAAAAAAAATGCAGAAATATTACATCATCTCAAATTTTACAAAAATGCGTGACTGCCGGAGCACCTTGCGCGGTCAGGCGCGCACTGGGGCTCGGCGGTGTGCGGGTGTTTAGTAGTCGGCCCTCCAGAACCGTGCATGTGCGAGTTGTTGCCATAATTTTACTGATAGAAAGGATTTGTAACATCGTTTAACAATAATAGTAAACACATACAATGCTCCTGCTGATCCACGCAGCTTTGCTTAGGTAAATCCCAACTCCACTCCTTCCATGATAAGCATGGGCTCTGACGCCATCACAATCAGCCGCCAGCCAGTTCGAGGCCCCGGAGGTCCTTCTCTGAGGGCCTGCAGCGGCGTAGGGGCCCATGCCAGCGCGAGAGGAGGCCTCCACCCACGCACCTGTCCTTGTGGAACTTGGTGTCTGTCCCCTGCAACCAGTGTCCTGCTGTCACCTGACTAAGACTGTAGTGCACAGAGGCCTGTTTTCTTCCGTGAGGGTCAAGGGTCGGGAAGGAAGAGGAGGTTGATGGGCGAGGCGGAAATTTCTCCCACCTCTTCCTAAGGAGGCGCCCACTGGCCTGAGAGCTTCCTGCTGCAGCAGTGGGAGCCAAACCGAAGTTCAGTTTTCAGTGGGCCAGCCCTCCCCCACACTCGGTGTGGACATCCTACTGCTCTAGCTTCATAAAATTCCAAGTGAAATTTTAATGCATTTCTCAGTTATAAATATATATTCACTGTAGAAGTTTAGAAAATACAGAAAATTAAAATAGCCTTACGGAACGTATGATTCAACACCATACGAAGGCGCGGTAAAGAAATGTAAAGAAGGCCCCAGGGAGGTTCTCCGGGGAAGCCATGCTGAGGAGACCGCCCCTGGACAGCACCAGGGCTGTGACCAGAGTGCAGCTTTACAGCCCCTCACCTGTAGTTGACGTCCCAACCAGGACATTTTCTGTAAGTCACCTGGCATCCAAACCCGAGGAAAGGGTTGGGGATCCTTTGGAAGAAGCCCGTGGAGCCCCCCAGGATGACTGGAGTCAGCTTCTTCCAGCCAAGGGTACCCTCCCCCCTCCCTATTCCTGCCCCCCATCACTGTCCCAGGAGCATGGTGCTGGCCCTGGGCCTGGGCCTCATTTCTCGGTTGCCCCCCACCCCCAGGGTCGGAGCGAGCAGACTTACTCCACAGTGAAGACAGCCGCACCTGCGGTCACCGTCACCAACCTGAAGCCAGCGACGCGCTACGTGTTTCAGATTCGAGCGGCTTCCCCAGGGCCCTCCTGGGGGACCCAGAGCTTCAGCCCCAGCATCGAAGTGCAGACCCCAGGGGAGGGTGAGTGACCTGTTGACCTGTGCCCGTGGACCTGGACAGGGAGAAGCCGGGGAGGGATGGGCGGGAGACTGGTGGGAGGGGTGACCGTCTGTGAAATGAAGGGAGCCTGCGAGAGTGTGAGACAGACTTCACCGAAGGTCGGGCCGTGGCAGGGCTTGGCTGCGGCAAGCAACAAAATGAGAATTGGACACTTTCATTGGTGAACTGGGTGGTGTGTGAATAATCTCTCAGTAAGGCTATTACCAAAACAAAACAAAACAAATCAAATCAAAAGCTGAACATCAGATACCTGATCCTGAAACTGCTCTGGCTTCTCCTCAGCACTGCTCTACCACCGCCCCCCTTCGCTCCCCCACCTCCTCTTCTTCCCCCACCCCCGTCCCCCCCCAACTCCTTTTCTGGATGCAGGGAGAGCATTCAGCTTCCTCTTTTGTCGTTTCTCCTGCTGCTAACCCAGCCCTCGGGGTCTCACCTCTATCTATCCCAAGCAGCTCATGAAAGTATTTTCCTGGACAAAGGCAGTTCCCCCTAAGAGGCATTCTGGCACCAGCTGTCAAGATAATAATTCTCTCCAACCTGCTACATGAGTCTAATCCAAGATAGGAAGAGCCCTGAGCCCAAAGGGAGGTGGAGATAAAATGTTGGGGGAGTCTGAGTTCTGGGAAGGGAGACAGCACTTCTTGCTCGGCTGCCCGTCTGTGCCAGACCCCAGCCAGGTGCTGGCGAAAGGAGATTAGAGCCATGTCTCCAAGGCTGGGGAGCATGTGGGTGTGTGGGGATGGGCGGGGAAGGCATTTTGGATAGAGGAAGCCACCTGGACAAAGGCTCGTGAATTTGGCTGGAGTGAGTGTGCGTGTGGGGTGGGGGGCGGGGTGCAGGGGCTAAGGACTTCCACTCATTTGGTGTTTTTTTGGTTAGCAGCTACTGCTCAGCTCCCCAGCCTCCTTTGCTGTGGCCCTGGCTGGGACCAGGAAGGGTGGGGTAGGGGGGCGGGCCTCCTAGTCTATACGGCATTTTTTCCAGCGAGCTGTGACCCCAAATCAGGGTTGTGATGAAAGACCAGGGTTTAACACTTTGTTGTTCCTTAACAAATTGCCCCAAAACGTAGCAGCTGAAAAGAAACATTTGTTATCGTGGGTTGTTTTTGTGGATCAGGGGTAGGGGTGCCGCTTAACCGGGTGCCACTTGACTCAGGGCGTCTCACGAGGTTGCCATCAAGGGGTCCTCTGGGGTTGCAGTCATCTCGGGGCTTAACTGGGGGAGACTCTGTCTCCTGCTCAGGGTCTCGCTGGCTCTGATGGAGGCAGGCCTCGTGGGCCTCTCCACAGGTCTACCCATAACACAGCCAGTAGATTCTTGTAGAGACTGCGAGTGAGCGAGAGGGCACCCAAGACAGAAGCCAGTCTCTTGTGACCTAATCTTGGAAGTGATATCCCATCACTTTTGCTGTGTTCTGCGAAGGCTTCAGGAGGAAATAACTGTTCCGCTCATTTCTCTGTTTCTGTTTTCATTCTACGGTTAAGTTTTTGTTTCTGTGTTTCCCAGTGGTTGGCGCACTCCTCCGGGGCAGGGATTCTGACTCATTCATTGCTTTCTCCCCGGTGCCAGGGGGTTACTGTTGGACGGATGGACGGATGGATGGATGGACAGATGGATGGGGCCGAGAGCCCAGGGTCCTCTTGACCGCTCCCTCCGTGAAATAATCTGGAGCAGAGGCTTTGGGGATCCAATTCAGATTTTAGGTTCATTATTTATTAGCTGCGTGACCTTGAGCAAACGACACAACTTCCCTCCGTGTCAGTGTCCTCAGCTGAAATGCAGAGACAGTAACACCTCACTGGCTTGTTGTGATGAAGACATAGGGTCATTCCGTTAAGGCACATGGCACAGTGTCTTGAATGGAGTAAGGGCGCATCAAATGTTTACTTTTGTTATAATTGCTGGGGAACAGTCTCACTTGGTGCTTGGGGAGCTCAGACAAGAGGCCATTCCCCCTGCAGAGCCACCCTAAGTCTCTCATTGTCCAGCTGAAAGGCAAAAAGGGAGTCCCAGGCCTGTCCGTCTGGACCCCTGCCCCTGTCTCTCAGAGCTGGGCTGTGGGGGGAGGCGCCTTGACCCCAGGTGACGAGGAAGCTCCAGGTGCCGCTGGGTTTGGTTGGACTGCCTCCACCCCTCCGCTGCTGGGGGGCAGAGGTGCTGCGGGAACCCTGCTGTGGGCTGAGGACACTTACCCAGCAGCCCGGTCCTCTGCCAGCCTCAGCCTCCTGCTTTTCCTCCCAGCTGCCTCAGGCTCCAGGGACCAGAGCCCCGCAGTGGTTGTCACCGTGGTCACCATCTCAGCCATCCTTGTCCTGGGCTCTGTGATGAGCGTGCTGGCCATTTGGAGGAGGTAGGTGGCTGGTCCCAGCCTGGCTGACCTCTGGTGAGGCGTGTCCCTGTGCTCACAGGCACCTGTATCTATGCCAGCATTTGTACACATGCAGGTTTGCACACGCAGGTCTGCACATGCAAGCACACTGCTGTATAGATACAGGCAAGGCTAGCATAGTCCCAGCCCCTCCCCCACTCCCTGCTCCTGAGGCAGCCGGCACTGCAGCTAGCTCAGCCGCTCTGGGATGAAGGGGATTTAGCTCCTTAACTCATTAAATGTCAGAAGGCATCACTGAGGATGGAATCAAGCTGTGGCTGTTCCAGTGTGATTAGGATTCTCCTGAGGCACTCAGAGGCCCCCAGCCCCTGGCCCCAAGGGGTCCCGAGGCCCTTGAACGTGGGCAAAGGGAAGAAAGTGTGTTGCGTGTATGCGTGTGGGAGGGAGGAGGATGGGGGGTGCGGGGCTCATAAACCAGAAACCCCCCAACCCCCAGCAGAAGGAAGCTGGCAGGAGAGTGGGCAGAGAAAAGGGAAAGATGTAGCTCTTGAGTCTGGCTCAGAGAAGATTCCAGCCCTTTTGCACACAGCAGAAGCCTCCTGGCACAGACTCCCCAGGCAGGTACCAGGGTGGGGCTGAGCTCAGAAGGTCTGAGGCCTCGGAGATTCTGCGTACAGAGGGCTGGAGTTCGGGGACGGAGAGACATAGGCCTGAGAACCATGCATCAGCACCGGAACTGCCTTCGGGCTGGAGGGACAGTGAGCCTTCATTTGGCACTGACCGCCCTTGGATGAGGCACAGAAAGTGACAGGTGGAGGGGACCCAGCTCCACCTGGGCCGGGGAGGCAAGAGGGCAGGGCAGGGCAGGAGGAGTGGGCTCCTCCATCACAGAGCTGTGGCTCCTGTGTTGGACCTGTTGGGAAAGCTGCCACGGACAGAAGCCTAGAGCACTGTGTCCTGGCGGTGAGTCTGGGGGCTCAGCAAGGCCGAAGGAAGAAAGGGGAGAGAGGTGAGTGGGGAGCACCTCCCCGGGGAGACGCTGCAGCCAGCCAGAGTGGTCGCCTGGGAGTGCCCGGAGACAGATGTACTAGGCAGGCAGAGTGAGCCAGGGGGTGATGGTGCGTTTCAAAACCTGCTCAAGGTCAAGCGTCAGTGAGGTGGGGAGCACCAGCTGGTCTGTGCTGATTGAGGGGCCTGGGGGCAAACTCCTCCAGCAGGCACCGGCAGTGTGGCAGACCTCGACGTCTCTGCCACAAGCCCCTCCTCTCCCCCTCCTCTCGGGGCTCTGCAGCCCTTGCTCTGGGCCATGGTCCCCTCCCCTCCATCTCCCTCCTCAATCTATCCTGGCTCACCCCGCGGGGGATGGGGTGTCTTCCAGGGGAAGCTGCTCATTTTCTCTGCCTGCCTCCATCCGCTCAGCCTGTCTCCATTCCCTTCATCTCCATCCCCCTCTCCTAGATGTCCCCTGCCTCCAGGGACATCCTGCCACCATGCTGAGTGACTAGTGCAGCTTGGATGACCAGCCTCTGGGTTCTTGGACGTCTTTATTCCCAAGGACCTTCGCTTCTGTTCCCCCTCTCCTTCCCTTTCCTGTATCCTGACCCCAAATATCGAGCCACTTCCCCTTTTGCCCTGCAGGCTCCCTGTCCCTGCAGCTTGTTCCCTCGGCCATCTCTGCTGCCCTGCTCTCTAACGGCACCACCGGCCCCTCACCCTCTCCCCACCAGGTCTACTCACCTGCCTATCTATCTCCACAGCCACCCTCTTCCTCCCGTTGCTCCAGAGGAGGTGCCTTCCTCCTACCTCGGACCTGAACCCACTCCCTGTCACAACCCAGGAACCTGTAGTGTTTATAATGTCCCTCCCCCACGTGACACTTCTAACACACACTGAGGGCTTAGCATGGGGACCTGGCCCGCCACCCAGGCATGTGCCCAATCTGGGAATCGAACCAGCGACCCTTTGGTTCGCAGGCTGGCACTCAATCCACTGAGCCACACCAGCCAGGGCTCTCCTGACTTTATTAAAGAGAAAACTGAGCCACTCAGTCCCGCAGCTGCCGAGGGGAGGAGCCAGGAAGCAGGTGGGTGCTGTCCCGTTCCAGAGCAGACGTGTTAGAGCCCGGCCTGCGTGACCACACCCTTCTGTGTGGCAGACAGCCCTCCTGCCCTCTCCCGCTGGCATCAAGCCCGGACCACCTCCCTCCAACCTCCTTCAGTCCCCCCGCCTCCAGCCTTCCCGGACCCCTGCTCCGTCTCGTCTTTCCTTGGTTCCTGTGATATCAGCACCCAGATTTCCCTTTATTTCCCTTTGACTTCCCTGGTGGTTCTTCTGTGACCTCCTTGCCTTCCCTCTCTCCTACCCAGTCACTAAATGCTGCGGGTCCTCAGACTCGTTCCTGGTCCCACCTCTCACAGCTCCCGAACCTGCATGTCCAGACCAGACACACACACACCCCGCTCCCTCCTCGCTGACCCTCCCTGCTTGCCCCGTAGGCCCTGCAAACTCAAGTGTCCACACATGCGCTTTTCACCCCCCACCCCGGCCTTGGTAAATGGTAGCACCATCCAGTCTGCTGGGCAAGCCTTCTCCCGCTCCCTTTCTGCCTTCTAGCCATCTCCAAGCCCTGTGGCCCTGTCACCTAAGTGTCTGAGTCCCCTCACTCTCCTCTCCATGGTCACCCCACAGCCTGAGCCTGAGCTACCGCCACCGCTGGCAGGGACAACAGCAGCAGCTGGGATGATCTTTCTAAAATGCAAATGGCGTCATGGCGCGCCCCTGCTCAGAATCCCCTCCGGGCTCTCCTCTGCTAGGAATGAAAGCCAAGCCTTTATCTGGGCCAGCAGGGCCTGGCCTCAGGGGGCCCAGATGCCAGCCTGTGGCTTTGCAGATTGCCCTGCAGTCCTTTGGTCCCACAGCTGCCTCTGCCTCAGGACGTCATCCCGGTGACCCCTGGAAGGGTTCAGGGCCGTGTGTGGTGTTCCACAGCGCACAGCCCTTCTCCTTTGGCCCTGTGAGTGGGCCGTGGCTGCCTCTCAGTACTGGTGCTTCTGGCCAGACCCCGCACTGCCTCTGCATGCGAGGGGTGGGCCTGCCTGTGTTGTTTGCCTGCAGCAGGGTGGGGTGGGGTGGGGGGAACAGCTGGAGCTTCAAGTCAGGGGTGCAGATTTGGGCACCTCTGAGTAGCAAGAAGGTGCACCGTGTCTCAGCGTGAGGGCCCCTGGGCGTGCTGCTGGGGGTGAGGGGTTAGGCGTGGTGCTAGGATTACCTGTGTATTTGCTGGGTTCAAGCCAGCAAAACAAGAAGGTCCCTCCCCTGGGGCACAGACCTCGTCCTTTTGAAGAGATGCCACCCTGGGTGCTGGTGACATGGAAAGGGCTGGGACAGCCTGGCTCAAAGAATGACTCTGCACCCCCCCCCCCCCCAGGCCCTGCAGCTACGGCAAAGGAGGCCGGGACGCCCACGATGAGGAAGAGCTGTATTTCCACTGTGAGCTGTCTGGGCCTGGCTTGGGGAGGGGCGGGTGCCCCCCCACCTCACTCCTCATCCCCCTTGCTTGCTGCCATTGCCCAACCCCACCCTCCTGCTGGGGAAGCCCCCGTCCTCAGAACCACCTCTCTCTTTCCCATGTTCCCAGTCAAAGTCCCGACACGCCGCACGTTCGTGGACCCCCAGAGCTGTGGGGACCCACTGCAGGCTGTTCACCTGTTTGCCAAGGAGCTGGATGCAAAGAGTGTCACAGTGGAGAAGAGCCTGGGAGCAGGCAAGCTGGGCATCCAGGGAGCCTGGTCCCTGCAGCGGGGGGTGGGGGGGGGGATGCCCTGCCTGTGCCTCAGCCCCGCCCACTCCAGAAGTCCCACTTCCACTCTGCCCCACTCTGATTCTGGAAGCCTGCCTCCACCCCAAGTCCTGCCCCAGCCCCCATTCTAGAAGCCCTGCCTTCACCCCTGTCCCCACTCTGCCCAGGAAGCCCCACCTCCACATCAGGCTGCACCTTCACCACCCAGGCTCCAAGGTAAAGGGATGGCGGAGGGCTCCGTGACCCTGCTTTCCTACCTTCTCCCGGTCCCCAGGGTCACTGAGATCCCCCCATACAGGCTCCTTCAGAGCCGGCCTCTGCGGGCTGCTGCTGCAGAAGTTTCAGAAAGGCCTTCCTGGGGCGGTGGGGAGGGGCTCTGCAAGCCTGGGGGCCAGACACCCCTGAGCTTTACTTCTGGCTCTGTCACTAACTAGCTGCGTGATCGGGGGCACTTCCCTCTTCTGCTCTGAGCCTCAGTTTCCCGTCTGTGAAATGGGCCTGATATCTGCCTCGGAGAGCTGATATGGGGGCTTCGCAGGCTCGGCGCACAGCCTGGCTCACAGTGGGCGCTCGGCCCCTCACGGTCATCTCCCAGCATGCTTCTTTCTGTCGGCACACCCTCGGCCCCTGCGCTCAGAGCAGGCAGCCACTTTCATCAGGAGCCAGACGCTAAGCCCTAACACTGGGCAGGAGCCAGGGAGGGGCAGTGTGGCAGAGTGGATGCCATCGCCACCCTTCCTGGGTCACGCTGGGCTGCAGTAGCCTCAGATGTGCTGGCATGCGCAGAGTCCTCTCTCTGAGGCTCTGGACCCTCCCGCTGAGGCAGGCAGGGAGGAATCCCCATTTCACACAGCAGGAAATTGAGGCTGCAGAGGGAATGAAAGAGGAAAACCACATCCCTCTGCTGATGCTCAGTTTATCACGATCCAAACCCAGGATCACAGAGCCCCAGGCCAGAAACAGCTCAGGACCCAGAAGGTGCTCTCTCCTCAGCTCGCCTGGCCAGGTTGGCCAAGGCAGCGGCCTGCAGGGGTGTGTCTGAGGTGCTGTTTCCCACAGGGCGGTTTGGGGAGCTCTGCTGCGGCCGCCTGCAGCTCCCTGGCCGCCAGGGGCTCCCCGTGGCTGTGCACACCCTGCGGGAAGGCTGCTCCGATGCCCAGAGGCTCAGCTTCCTGGCCGAGGCCCTCACCCTGGGTCAGTTCGACCACAGCCACGTCGTGCGGCTGGAGGGTGTGGTCACCCGAGGTAGGCCCTGTGCTTCACAAATATGGGGTGAGGATGACAGGGTGGGAGGCGGGGTGCCCTGTGCCCTGAGGCCCTTTCCTTGGCCATGAGAGGGAGCCCCTAAATGCCCAGCATGGAGGGAAGGTCTCAGCTTTTCTTCACTGACTCAGGGTGGCCCCTTTGACCCTGAGCAACAGTTCTGATTTGTGGTGACATTCTGTGGAGGGATGGCTTGAACCCTGGGTGATCTTTCTTGGCAAACTTATTGCAGCTCCTGACCTTGGCCTTTGTCTGCCTCCTCTTTTGTCCTTCAGCGTAGGGGGTCCTGGGCCCGGAAGGAGGGTGGCATAATTAGGGGAGTGTGGTCTTGGTTCCGGCCACCTAGGCCCAGGTCAGGGCCCAGGTGGGGGGCACGTGTCCAGCGGGGAGCAGACAACTCAGCCTGTGTGCGTCTCCCGTCCCTGGGCACAGGAAGCACCCTGATGATCGTCACTGAGTACATGAGCCTTGGGGCCCTGGACGGCTTCCTCAGGGTGAGTGGTGTGGGCCCTGGGGGTGGAAAGGACCTTGTTATTTTGGGCCCCTTACTCTTCTCTTGGTCGAGACTTGGAGTCAGCATCATTCCCTGAGAAGGCGCCCGCTGGCCAGGCCGGCCGCCTGGGTCGCAGGGCAGGCCGAAGCCTGGCGGGGGCGGCGTGACTTTCCTGGTGCAGCCGCAGGGGAGCAGGCATGCAGCCCTGGCCCCCATCTCCCCCTCTCCCTCAGCGGCACGAGGGCCAGGTGGCGGCTGGGCAGCTGCTGGGGCTGCTGCCTGGGCTGGCGTCGGCCATGAAGTATCTGTCGGAGATGGGCTACGTTCACCGGGGCCTGGCCGCCCGCCGGGTGCTGGTCAGCAGTGGCCTTCTCTGCAAGATTTCCGGCTTCGGGCGGGGACCTCGGGACCGGGCAGAGGCCGTCTACACCACCATGGTGAGGAGTCCTTTCCCCCAGGCAAGCCTGCTCCTCTGTTTCCCACCAGACTGCCCGGGCGTCCCTGCCGCCCCTGCCCTGCCCCTCCACCCAGTTGGTCCCGAGTAAATGCCAGTGTGGACACCACCTTGTGGTCAGCCTGTGTCCCTTCCCCCGATGTGCAGCTGGGAGGGTGGCGGGTGGGGCTCCATCTGGGACCCTGTGGGGAGGGAAACCTGGGCGTCGTCCCTCCCTGCTGCGCCTGACCTGCCCCCCTGCCTGCCCGCCTGCCCACAGAGTGGCCGCAGCCCGGCGCTGTGGGCTGCCCCCGAGACGCTTCAGTTTGGCCACTTCAGCTCTGCCAGCGACGTGTGGAGCTTCGGCGTTGTCATGTGGGAGGTGATGGCCTTCGGGGAGCGGCCCTACTGGGACATGTCTGGCCAAGACGTGAGTGACTGGTGGCTCCAGCTCCTTGCCTTCTGACCCTCTTGCCCTCTGACCTCAGCCCCCAGTTCCCTGCCCCTTGACTTTCTAGCCCCAGGTTTCTCTTCACCGTTCGTTTGTTTCTCATCCCGCCTGCCTACCGCTGGCGTCTCCCCAGGGTGGGGGTGCACGCACATGTGTGTTGGGAGGATGTAAGGCCTCCTGCCTGCTCTCCTCACCCCCACGGCCCAGGTAATCAAGGCCGTGGAGGATGGCTTCCGGCTGCCGCCCCCCAGGAACTGCCCCTCCGCCCTGCACCGACTGATGCTTGACTGCTGGCAGAAGGACCCAGGTGAGCGGCCCAGGTTCTCCCAGATCCACAGCATCCTGAGCAAGATGGTGCAGGACCCAGAACCCCCGAAGTGTGCTGCAGCCGCCTGTCCGAGGTATATTCCCACCTTGCCCCAACCACGGCAGGTACGCTGACCTCTCCCCTGTCCATGGAGGCCTCCCTCATGCCCCAGTACAACAGCCCTGTCCCTCCTACCCCACTGGTCCTGGCATGACTGCTCACCAGCTGCCCCAGGTAGATCTAATACTCCCACCTGCCTGAGGCTCATGGAACCTTCCATCCATCTTAGCCACTTTCGCGTGTCCTGGATTTTGCTCACATATCCCGGGCACAGTGACCATTGGATACATATATGTGATAGTAGTCCTAACTAATTCATAGTTCCAGTAAATAAAACACGTGAAATTAGTATAAGTTGTCCCAAATTACGGGTTGCCTCTCAAACTGTCCTGGGTGTGTCCTGCCCCCAGACTGTTCCAGACACCCCCGGCACATTTGGCCGGCTCGGGTGCAGCCCGCTCCCCACCTGCCTGAGTGTGCCGGGCACGCCGAGCATGCGCACGCCTGCTCCGAGAACACGTAGCGCCCGCGTGAGCCAGGCCTGCCCGGGGTCCCAGTTGCCTCCCAGCCTCCTGTCCTTTCGCAGCTGGCCTGTCCTCAGGAGAGGGACCGGGTCTGGGCAGCAGATCCCTGCTGTTGACTGGCCACTGCTCCTCTGCCCCAGGCCTCCCACCCCCCTGGCAGACCGTGCCTTCTCCACCTTCCCCTCCTTTGGCTCTGTGGGTGCATGGCTGGAGGCCCTGGACCTGGGCCGCTACAAGGACAGCTTCGCTGCGGCTGGCTATGGGAGCCTGGAGGCCGTGGCCTCCATGACTGCGCAGTGAGTCTGGGAACCTGGGGGCCCTGTCCAGGCAGAGGGCGGGAGAGCAGAAGGTGGGGTTGAGCTGGCGAGATCTGACCAGTCCGTCCACACAGGGACCTGGTGAGCCTGGGCATCTCGTCGGCGGAGCATCGGGAGGCCCTTCTCAGCGGGATCGGCGCCCTGCGGGCACGAGTGCTCCAGCTGCAGGGCCAGGGCGTGCAGGTGTGAGCAGCTCTCACTCTTCCCCAGGGGGCTCAGACGCAGCCGGACAAGCCCCTGGGCAAGCTGCACTCCACTCGTGGGGAAGTGAGCTCCCTTCCTCCACCTGGGGCCGGTTTCCCCATTTCACTGCTTACTCCTCCCACTTTCCCCAGTCTGAGCCCCTTGGCTGACTCAGCCCCCCTGGAGAGGGCCCTTGACAGAACAGCGGGAGGAGAAGCAGGGTCTGAGACACTGAGGTGGGGCTGGGTGGGCAGGAAAGACGTAGCTTTAAATCACTGGGCTCCTGCCCTTCTGTCTTCCGCATTCACTGGGGCGCTGGGCCTGACCCCTGACCCTGCAGACCCCTGGGCCAGCAGGCAGCGCACGTCCCTGCTGGGCTGTCAGTGGGCCCGGCAGTGACCACAGCTGCCTGGCAGCCTATCCTGGAGGGGCCTGCAGGGGCAGGGTCCTCAGCTCCTGGTGCTGGGGCTCAGCCCTGTCTGGGCATTGGTCCCGAGGCCCAGGCGGCAGAGGTGGTGCTGAGCTCAGGGGTCGGTTTCTGCCTCCCTTGCCGTTGGGCTGACAGCTCAGGGTGAGGGTCCCGGCGGTGGGGCCACACAAGGTCCTGGTGCTCCCTGAGGCCCCACTGGCCTCCCCTTTGCATTCCTTTTGTAAACTCGCTGGCTGGACTCCTGGGAGGGACACGAGGGGAGATGTTGTCTCCCCTGGGGGACCCCAGAGTGTGTTGTCCAGCCTGGGGGAATGATGACAGAGAGACTCTCAAAGACGGACCATCTCTCTCTGGCTGGTCCAATCCTCACTGTACGGGTGGGGAAGCCCGAGACCCAATGAGGAGCCAGGACCAGGCCTGGGGCAGAGCCAGTTCGCCCAACTCCCTGCCCAGGGGTGAGGTCGGCTGTGGAGGGAGGCCTTGGTCCCACCCTGGAACACCACCACTCTTTCCCAGGGGAGCCAGGGCCACTGTGAGGGGAGCCCCGGGGGGCGCCCCATCCCTGGCCGCCACCCAGCCTCCTCGGAGCACCTCCCCGCTCCGGCTTCCGTGGGCCTCAGACAGAAGTGGGCGCACTGAGCTGGCTCCAGAGTTCCTTGCCCAGAAGGGCTCCCCCAGGCTGTGGTGATGACGAGACCACACTTTCCTAGGACAAGAGGAAGGCAGCCAGATCTGGATAGGGCCATGGGGGCTGTCTTTCCAGTGTGCTTCCGGCATGCCTGTCTGGGTTTGGCTGTGGTGGGTGGGGTGAGCTGGGCTGGGAGGAGGAGCTGAGGGCTGGAGGAACAGGGTGAATGAGACACAGAGCCCGCCCTCGGGGGGCTTAGGCCAGGTGGGGCAATGGTCTCAGACACCAGGAAGCACCCAGGCTGCCTCCACCAGGGCTCCGGGGCCCCGTGGGAGACCTCTGGTCTGTGGGCTGGGGGGCTGAGGCGGACGCTGGACCCTCTCAATCTGTGTATGTGGAGGGTTTCTGGAGAGGCTCCTTGGCTGAGAAGCCAACTCGGAAGTTGAACAGGGCCTTCAAGGCAGGGCAGGATGAAGTCGTGGATGGATGAAGTCATCAGCAGGCCCAGACGGAGGGCCCAGGCCAAGATGGGGTCCAAGCAGAGCGGCTAACGGGGGATGGAGCCCAGGGGCCGGAAGACGCAGTGCGTCTCTGGGGAGCACCCCCTGGTGGGGGACGGTGCCTCACAGCAGTGCCTTCGGCCTGGCCCTGGTAGCTCTTCTCTCCTTGGGGCCCCCCCACCCGTCTTCCTGTTTCCTGGGCCCTGGCCCCGGCTCAGTGACTCCGGGGGTACTGGGGGAGACCCAGCTACTGCCTCCACCTTTGACAGGGCTAGAGGGCCCCGTGCCAGGTGTCCTTCAGGCTCCGCACCCCGGACCCTTGCTCCTGGGAAGCCTGGAGAGGACATGGCGTGAGGGCCAGCGTCCTGTCTCGTGGGAGGGGAGCCTCAGCTCCAGCTGCAGTCCCAGCAGTCACCCTCTGAAGGTCAAGTCCCTGCCCCACCAGCTGCTCTGCAGAGGGGCCGCCGTCGGCAGGACTTCGGTGTCCAGGGTAGACCTCCCTCCACTGGAGCGAGGTCCCAGAGTCCTGAGGGGCCCGGCCTCGGCCCCGCACGGGTGCTAGTGTGATGCGAGCCGGTGGCTCCCCGGGCGCCCTCTACAGATCTATTTTTATATGGAACCTATTCGCTGGACAGCGGGAGGGGCCTGCAACCCCCGAGTACGCCATCCGGGCCCACCCAGGGAGGGGAGGGGCCGGTTGGGGAGGTGGTTCCTTTGATTTGTGCTGGAGATGTTTTTATAATTTTGGGTTCTATATGCAGGACAAAGTAATAAAAACTTGTCTGTGATATGGTGCCTCTTTCACTGACACTTGTTTCACCATTAAGTAGTGTGTGTGGGAGGGTTCCTACCCCCGCCCCAAGGTGGGGGGTCTCCAGACTACGGGTCTGAAGTCTCGCTACATAGAGACTAATTCAACTGCCCCTGTCACAGAAGACCCCCAGTCTAGTGGGGGGCATGTTTAGGAAACATCACAGGACAGTGTGGTCAGGGTCACCGTGGGGGTGAGCATGAGGTAGCCTGGGGATGTAGAGAAGGATGTCACCCAGTTTGGGAGCAGTAAACCAAAGAAGGCTTCCCAGAGGAGGGAGCACTCGGGCGGTGGTGCCATCCCCTGAGGTAGACAGTGTGGGGAGGGAGCAGCGGGCTGGGCAGGGATGCAAGGGGAGGTCAGGAAATGACTAGCTTGGTTTTGGATGTGATTTGAGATCTTGTGGGAGGCGTAGGCAGAGATATCTAGGAGGCGGGCGGATGCTTGGGCTGGAACTCGGCGCAGGTGTGAGCTGGAGGCAGCGCTCTGAGGGTCAACAGCTCGCAGGTGGGGGTGGAAGCCACGGGGAGAATGAGGTTGCCCTGGGCCGGCCGATGGAGGAAGAGGAGCTCTGGGGGCACTCGGACTTGGGGGGCAGCTGGATGAAGAAGAGCAGAGACAGAAGCTGAGGGAGCAGTGAGAAGCCAGGCTGGAGTCAGGCCACTGAGCCAGAGGAAGAGCGAGTTTTGCTGTGAAATGCAGAGAAGCCGGGCGAGAAGAGCGGCTGTCGGTGTAGGAGTGCTCCCACAGTTCTAGAGGCTGGAAGTCCGAGGCCGAGGTGTCGGCAGAGTCTGTTCCTCCTGAGGACTCAGGGAGGGACCTGCCCCAGGCCTCTCTCCTTGGCTTGTGGGCGCTGTCTCCTCCTGGTGTCTGCGTGTCTGCATGTCATCTTCCCTCTGTGTCTCTGTCCAGACTTCCCCGTTCTCCTAGAAGGGCACCGGTTGCGTCGGACCAGTCCATGTTGGCCCACCCCGATGGCCTCATTTTAGCTTGGTGACATCTGTAAACACCGTGTCTCCAAATCCAGTCAAGCTCTGAGGTATCAGCGCTTAGGGCTTCATACAAATTTGGGGGAGCACAGATTTCAGCCCATTGCAGTGACCTTAATTGAGCTGGCAGAAGCCAGGTGAGAGAACTGAGTTTGAGGGGCTACCAAGGGCAGAGGAGTGGGGCGGGGGTGTGGGCTGAAGAGTGCTGGCACCCCACCGGAGCCCTCACGCACGCACACCCATGTCGTGCGCACACGCATCACACGCACCCACACTTGTACCGCATGAGCCCTTGCTGTCCTTGGTTGGCTTTCTAGTGCTTCTGCTCAGCCTGGCCTGGCCGTTCGTGTCCATAGTGTGGAGAAGGTGTCTTATTTATCTGCTTAGTCCTGGCCACAGAAAGAGCTTAGTGATGGGAGGGTGGCAGGGGTGGCGATTAGCAACCCTTTCCTCCGCTCCTGTGCTCAGAGCCCACTGGGCATCAATTCCCTGGGGCAGACGGAGACCCGGCCCTTTGGTAAGGCAGGCTGGAGCGTGCTGCTCACCACGTTCCTTCGAGCCTGAGGCACCGTGGGGGGTGAGATGCACCATGCAGTCATGTCCCAGCCAGTCAAACCACATTATGCCATGTGCCTGGAAGATGCATCCCAACCTCAGAGATACTAAAAATGTGTAAAATGCACATCTTTGATAACTGAGATGTGGTGTACTGTGGACAGAGTGCATCTCCCATCATTCCCCTGAATTAGACCCACCAGTCCCAGGCTGAGCCAGAGATGCACGAGTTGGCCCCACCCAGCTTCCTGCATGATGGGGGGCAGACCAGAGCGCCCCCTTCTTGCAGGCAGACAGATCTGCGGGAAGCCAGAGGTTATCCCTCTGTCTCCCAATTCTATTAGATAAGTCACTTCTCCCCCGCCCCCGAGGGGAGGGATGAATGAGTGTGCTGGAGACGTCAGGCGTCAGGCGTGTTGCTCTGCAGAGGTCTGTGGCCTTAGAGGCAGGCAGCCAGAGAGTGGAGGACCCCTCCCCCACTAACACGTAACATTGTGCCTGGCACCCAGTTACTAAATGGTATCAGCAAGTTGTGAGGCACCGGGTAGGTGTACAGTATGCAGCTGGGAATGGAAATGAACTCTAGGCAGGGAGGCCGCCGACCAGTCTGACAAGGTGTTTATCTGCTCATTCAGTGCTGAGCAGAAGCACCTGCTAGGCGGTCAGCACCGGGAACGTAAGGAAGCCTAATGGGGCAGTCAGTTAAGTAAAAAGCACGAGAGGCACAGCCGTGGGGATAAATCCTGGGCGTGGTGGAGTCCAGTGGAGGGCTTTGCCCGACCTCGTTCTTGGGGAGGTGTGAGAAGGCCCCCAGGGGAAAACCAGGTAGTGAGTCCGCTGTCCATATTAACCAGCAACTGAGTTCTAGACTCAGTTCCTTACATGAGCCCCATCACACTGCCTGGGACGTGAAGAAAACTCCTTACCACATGGCACTCTCTCTGAATCTCTTTGTCCCCTTTGCCATGAAACTTGAGCATCTGCCAGTATCTTGAAAAACAGTGCTAGCCTCTCAGGATGCTCCCCACCCCCTGTTAACAGTGGGACCCCCGGGCTCTTGGGGCAAGGGAGAGAAGTCAAACTCCTTCTGCTCGTGGACTACCTCGTGGTGTCTGCCAGCATCCGGTGAACAGACCCTGGGTGTCTCAAGTCTCTCGTGTACGTGAAAAACTAAAGCAACCAAAACCAAGTTTGTTTCTCGCAAACATCTCCCATCCCCTCCCACTTAGGCTTCTTCTTGCCCGCTCTCCTTTTACCACCACGCTTGTCCTTGGCAGTCGGCTGGGGCGCCATCAGGAGAGTGCAGACCAGTGGGTTTGCTGGCATGACCTTTGCATCGGATTTGAAGGGGTGTCTCCTTGGAGACTGTTGTCTGCATCCATCCTGATGCCTGTCGGCACACTGTGAAACACAGCATGTGCTTGCAGGCACTGCCAACGTGCCGACTTGGGCCTGGGCTTTTCCTAGTGTCCTGGTGCCGCGGTATGTTGTTATGTCGTCCGCCATACCCATCGTCTGAGGGTCAGAAAACACCGACTAGAATAGATGCTACTATCAACTGCGGGAAAGATGATAGTCAAATGTGGAAGGCGAGCGGTGTGGGTTACAGTGGTGGGAAGCGGGTGCTGGGGAGACGGGGCTTGTTGTCTAGGTGAGGCGATACAGGTGGGGACGATGAGGGGCTGGGCAAATGCCTAATGCTGCGAAGGGCCAGGAGACGACACCTCAGCCAGAGCAAACTGGGTTCCAGACTCCCGTTAAGTGGGAGTTCGATGTGCACCCCGGTTTTGATCAACCCGTGTCTCTCACTCCTTCCATTTCTGAAGCCACATGAGTTACCTACTGTTCAATCTTCAGCACATATGTGTCGTGCTCTATTTTAGCTATGGACCCACAGCTATCGCTGTGTGAAATTAGAGGAGGAAAATATTTATCAGGGCTCGTGCACATGCAGACTGAGACACACTCTGTTTTTCAGGGGCGTCAGAGACGTCATGGTGAGCTTTGCGTTGGTCACGTGAACTCATTGTCGTTGGCACAGATGGGGACGGTGGTTCCTTTGAGCTAAAAGATGTGTTGTGCTGCAAATAAATGATGCTTAGGTGATATCATATCACACATACCCCAAGAACTAGCTCTTCTTGTGAATTAATTTTTTAAAAATATTTTATTGATTTATTTTTAGATGGAAGGGAAGAGAGGGAAACATCAATGTGTGGTTGCCTCTTGTGTGCCCCCTACTGGGGACCTGGTCTGCAACCCAGGCACGTGCCCTGACTGGGAATCAGATCAGCAACCCTTTGGTCCACAGGCTGGTGCTCAATCCACTGAGCCACACCAGCCAGGGCAAATTATTTAACCTAACTGTTCACAAGGCAATACATTTGGACTTCTTTCAATAGAAATCCCTAAATAGGACTTTTGGAAAAATCAGGGGGCTTGCAGGGCAAAGAATGAACCTGTTTATTAAAATTTTGGGTTCTCTGAAACTGCCTGAGGTACACTAGTAAAGGGGACTCCAGGCCGCACCTTCTCTTCAATCCAGAGAAGCTCTGCTTAGGGTACAAAGTAAAGTGCCCACAGGCACTAGACATGTAACAGGTAACAGAGGGAAGTCACTGAACAGGAAAAGCTTTCATCTGGAGGAGGGATCTCTATGGGCCAGAGAGCTGCTGCTGACCTCGTTGACTGTGGCCCCTGTTGCCAGATCTTGTATTTTGGAAGCTAGCAACCATTTTTGAACCTTGGCAATTTTTAAATTCTTATCAACTAATTAAAAAATTGTTATCAATTAGTTTTATTTTTCTTAAAGGATTTTACTTTTTTTAGAGAGGGGACGGGTGGGAGAGAGGGAAGCATCAATGTGTGGTTGCCTCTCACGTGCCCCCTACCAGGGACCTGGCCCACAACCCAGACATGTGCCCTGATTGGGAATAGAACCGGTGACCCTTCGGTTCACAGGCAGGCACTCAGTCCACTGAGCCACATCAGCCAGGGCTCAGCTATTTTAAAGAACAAGCAGTTGAATGTGTGTCAGTGGGCCATTTTTGGTCTGTGGCCTGGTGGGAAGATTTCAGTTCCCTTTGCAACGTTCCAGCCCTGTGATGGTTCAGCCCAGGCTTTAAACCCGGGGGCAGGGAACTCATTACCCTGCGAGTAAGTCAATCTCTCATGTGAGTAAGTCAGTCTCTTATGCGGAGTGGACTGCCCTGTCTGCCCCACGCGACTGGCTTTTGCCGGGCACCTGCTCGGCCCACGCACGCCCCACAGTTGGGTCCGCCTGGGCAGTGGCGCACAGGGAGTGCGATCGGGTGGCCTGGCTCTGGGTGAAGCGTGTTGGATCCGAAGTATTTCCTTGATGCCAGGCTCTTCCTCACACTGTGCCAGGTGACGGCGGCAAACGCAGGAGCCTCAGGTTTTGGGACTTAATGACTTGAAATGAGTAACCTTTACTCCACATGCTGTCACTGACCCAAGGGTCCTTCCCCACGAACTGTCCGTGCCAGATGACCGAGCTAGGTAATGAGCACAGATTGCTTAGCTCCATGTTGGTCACTTCCAGTGCAGGAAGCCTTCCAGGAAGGCGGACCCGCCAGACCCCGTGCTCTGGGAAGTGAGAGCGTGATCACTGAGTGGCCTGTGCCTGGCTGCGTCTGGCCTGTGAGGCTAGACTCTGTGGGCGAACGAACTACAGGGACCCAAGAGCTCGTCCTCCCACATGCAGACCTCCAGCTCGCCAAGCAAACGTGCCGGGGCCAAGTTCCTGGGGCAGGTCCCGCGTGTCCTGGACCTTGGGGTGAGGGCCCCTTCTTCAGATACCAGGGCGATTCTGCCTGAAGTGAAGACTTTCACATCTGCCAAGTGAAGCAGCTGTTCAAAGACCCGCACCCCAACAGCTTAGCAGCAGCTTCAGCCCCGAAGCTGCCACTAGTCCAGGTAGCCCAGCTTGGACGCAACAGGCAGGCTGAACAAACTCACAATTTATTGAAAACAGGTACCTTTCAATAGCTCTGATTAAAAAAACCAGATTAGAGATACCATTACATTACTCAGGAAAACAGTATGTACAAAAAGTCTCAGGATAGGGACACTAAAACAACCTGAAAAGAATACAACTTAAACAGGACTGGATTACTAGAATGGTCACGAAGCAAAATGATAGTACGGCAAAGAGCCACAGGAGAAACTGTGGGCCCTCAAGCCTGGGGCGGGAACGCTCAGTTCCCGTGTTCTTGGACCACGTCCCATGATTCTTTGGAGCGGAGGCACCGGCTGGCACGCAGGGATCTCAGTGCCGACTCCAAGGAACTAGTGCGTGCCCAGGGCGCGGGCCACACACGTGGAGCGAGGCCGCAGTCCAGTCATACCTGCTCCCTCAGTGAAGCCATTCAGAGAGAAGCGCACGCTGCAAGGTCTCCAGGCCTGGCGGGGGCCACTGGGCCGTGGAGAGCCAGTCACACAAAATCCCACACTAATCTAAGCCCTGCAAGCCCCTAATCCAGATTCCCGCTAACTAGAGAGGTAGAGGAGCGAGCCATGGAAACTACCTCCACACCCATTTTTGGTCTTCAGTAAACAGAGGCACAGCACACTGTCCCACACAGCAGCCTGAACAGGACTACGGGGCACAGCACGTGTGAGACTCCGCAGGAGGAGGAGATGGGAGTGGGGGGACGTGTGTTCCGCTGTGGTGACAGGCCCTGACACACTGTCCTGACCCCGTCTGTCTGCTTCCTCCGCACTTTCTGGAACTGCCCCCTCACAGCCCTGAACGCTCAGTTCTCTGGGCCCAAACCTCCCAGCCCCAAGCACGCAGAGCAGGAATGCCAGACGCAGAGGGTTCTCCGACAAGGGCAAGCAGTCAGTCTTTCCGAGAACACAAGGCTCTCCATGCTGTCTGCACTGGAGTCAGGGCAGGGTGGAGGAGGTACAGTTGCAGGAAGAGGGAGGGAGCGGCTCTGAGAGCTGGAAGGACCGTTCGGCAGGGAGACTGCATACACGCAGCAGGCAGTGTCCGTCACCTGGGTTGGGAGGTGCAAATAGCGAAACGGATGGGGGAACAGTGCCTCCCCACGTCCCGAGTTCTCCGAGAGGAGCGCCACTCCTGCTCTGAACTTCACACTCAGAGAGACCATAAGCTTGAAGGGGAGAAGCTCCCAGAAGTGCCCACTGAAAATCCATCCTGTTGAGTTGGCTTCTTGGAACAGCAACCTCATTTGTGAGTCTGTATGCTGCTGCAGATCTGGGCGAGACGGCTCTAAGGAGAAAAGGAAACGGGTCATTTGGAGATGATGGCACTGGGCATGCACCACCAGATGTGGGGTGAGGCAGGTCTGAGGGACCTCAGCCCTCCATCCTCTATTTGTTTCACAAACTAACTCGCCCTTCTGAATCTCCGTTTTTCATCTGAACAAAGGAGCGAAGCAACACCTCAAGTGAGACAGTGAAGGTGTGGGTGGGGAGAGGGATGCAGCAGGTCCAGCTGGGGTGGGAGTCGCCAGCTCTGGGTGGCTGGTGGTGCGTGTGATCTCAGCGCTGGGCCTGAGTTCAGTAGGACGTGTTCGGGAGAGCAGCCCGCCCTGCCCCCTCCCTCAGATGTGCCCTTCACAGGTGCCCCCCAAACACGGCAGCCACGTGTGCGCGAACTGCTCCCACTGCCAGCCAGAACCATGCAGAGTGGACCAGGGAGGCCTATCTGACCGAAGCGGAGCCAACTAACTCCTTCCTCTTGAGAATGTAAATGAAGACGGGAAGCTGGACGCTGGTGCTGGGCAATGCGGCAATAGCTACGGGGCTGGAAGTGTGGCTGCCAGAGCCACCTACGGACCAACGTTCGGGGAGAGCAGAACCAGCAGCCTCGCGGGGCAGTGCGTCTGCTGCGGTGAGGAGTGAAGTCGTGCTCGGGGCCGCGAGGGCAGAGGAGCTGGAGGAGCTGGCGCACCACGGTGGTGCTCCGAAAGCTCCTGTGGCCCACGGTGCCGCCAGTCTCAGGCCTGGCTGCTCAGCGCTTTGACTCTGCGGATTCCTTGTAACCAGCACTGCCCCCTCCCCAATGCTGAACTGCCGTGAGAGAGTTTCAGTTCCTGGAGGTCAACTGTGCCCTCCATACAGGCACCAACTAACTGCCTGGACAAGGCAGAGTTTCAGTTCTGTTGCGGAACTTCGTGGCAGGCACTCTGGGAAGGACCGAAACGCAACATCAATTTAGGGACAGAATTGCTGCCAAGCAAGCAGGATAACAGCCAAAATCCCTTGAGGGAAAGAAGGCAACACAATGGTAAGGACAAAGCATTACTGGCCCAGACCTGAAAGACAATCCTAACACAGACAACCGAGAAAGCTACGGCAGGCCGCCCAGGGGTGGAGGTGGGCGTGAGACTTACGGACAGCTGCTTTATGTTGCCCAGGGCCTCTGGGTCCAGCTGTGCGATATCGACCCTCTTCAAGTCACTGGCCAGCAGTCGCATGCTCTGTGTGGAGGGGAGAGGGGGTTAAACTGCATGTCCTTTGGGGCAGGAACCTCCACCCAGCAACCCTGTGTGCCCCCAGGGGTCCCCTTCCTGTCCTGCAGGACATGGGAGGATAAGGAAGGCAGACAGGACACAGGCTGTCACCATGTCCCTAAGGATACAGTGATACCAGCGCCCATCACTGGGTCAGGGGCTGAACCACCCGGCACCAAGGCATGCCCCTTAGCTTCACAGTGCCCTGCACACCACATCTGAGAGAGGCTGCACCTGAGATAAAGCACCCTTCCCTGCCAGGAGGTGAGATCAGCAACTTGCTCCACTCAGCCCGGAAAAACGGGGCTCAGCCTGCTTCAGAGCCCCTTGAAGCGAGACCAAGAGGAAGAGACGGCACACGCACCCTGACAGTGCACCCCCAACCCTGCACTCTGGCTCCATGATCCCACACACCACATGGTGGTGTTAGAGCCAGCTGTGACCCCACCTGGACTGCCTAACTGCGTCCCTGGGGCGGGAGTGTCGCCCGCACCCTGGGCCTGCTGCAAGACGGGTGCACCGATGTTAGCTGATGAACAGAGGGACCCAGAGCTGGGCGAGGATGCTCCCAGCCCGGGCCTCCACCCCGGGAGAGGAAACCGGGTTCTGGGTCCCACACAAGTGTGCAGGTTGGGGTCCGTGCAGCCACGAGAACTGGGGGAGAGCGGTGGGTGGCAGGCCAGGGAGGGCAATGCTGGCCACGAGGTGCACCGGGCCTGGCTTCCCTCTGAAACGCTTACCTCTCCGCCTCCCACTGGCACAGTGAGGAAAACCTCTTTGCTGTCGGCTAGAGGGCTGCCGTTCACCGAGACATTGTAAATCCGCTCTCTGGCTGCCGGAGTGCGCAGGCCGGGGGTCTTGAAGACCCTACAAAGTGGGAAAATTTCTGTGAAGACAGCTTGGCAGATTGCATGACACCAGGCACTCTGAGCCCTTCCGAACCCCATCTGGCCTCAAGCTGCAGTTTTCAAATCACATATTTCTAAGGCCAGTTCTAAATTTAGGGGAAAAAAATCTTTTTAAGCAGTAATGACTAAACACAGCTGGAGAAAGGAGACTGTAATTATCAAACATACATCTAGCAAAAGTCAATTCTTATTCATATAAATTTTAGGTCCAAAGCTCCATATGCATGCCTGCCATCCATCCATACATCCATCCATCCAGAAATAAACTATGGTTAATGTATTTCCAAGTACAGCTAAGTGCTTCTATCAAGAGGTATTTTCCAGGGTCAAAGGAGGATTCAGAGATTACATCCTTATATTAATCCCCAAACTAACTTTCTCAAGGCAGTTAAAATGCTGCTTGCTACCTATTTTCCCTGAAATGTCCTTTGCTGTATGTCCACGTGAAAAACACAAAGTTAACGAGTAGGAATTAAAAGCAGGAGGTAAGTCTTCCTCACTCCCCCCACCCCAGCGATAACCACCCTCAGTTCCTTCTGCATCCTTCCAGAACTGTTCCATGTGTAAAAATGCAAATGAAACCATTAGGGGCACGCTGTGTAGCAGCTGCTCGGAGATGCTTGGAGCCCTGAAGCCGCCCCTCCCGGCATCAGCACACGCAGATCTTTTTAAACGTCTGCACAGCATTTTCTGTTGAGCGGACCAGCCCTAGAGAAGGGATAACGCCTGCTGCCAGAACACCCTTGTTTATGCTGGTCTCCCAAAAGAGGGCACCAACTTTCCTCAAGGAAATAGGAGAATGCCTACCTATTTAAAAAAACAAAACTTTTGATTAGAATCAGAAGAGACCAAACGTCAGTAGAGGCCGCCTAGTGGCCCGAGACACTGTTCTCTGTCTCTCATCAGATAAGGAATCATTTGGGTGCTGACCACAGCGGACCCCCGCACTCGAGGGCGAGGCATGGCAAACGCATCAGGAAGCTCCGAGTCAACCTCCTCTGAGAAGGCGGCCCAGGCCAAGGAGTCAGGAGTTACTGCCTTAAACACCCTGCTTTTCTGACGTCAAATGCTGGACTCCCACCCAAACCCAAGCCCGGATCTCAGTACGCACCGTGAGTCAAATCTGGGCGTCAGGCCTGGAGTGGGTTTCACCAGAGACAGCTCCATCCGGCCCATAGCCGGGGTGACAGTGTTACAACTGCTTGACCTGCAGGTAAGAAATGGCTATGAGGTGCGGCCACTCGGGTGAAACAGCAGTGGCAGGGGCAGGTCACCCTTGGAGAGCACTGACCTTGTCAGACATTGCCCTGAGCACCCACATGGTAACATTTCAAGAAACTAACTATCGATAAGTGATGGTGACTTTGTAACTGGCCACGGGGTAGCTCCGCACATGCACTGTCAGGCAGCTAAACAAAATAATGCGCAATGCCTACCATGTTTCTGGGCCCTATTCTCCCTGTTTGCGTCGACAGAAGTGGGGGAGGATGGAGAACGTGGGCAGCAGAACTGGAGGAGGTGCTGCGTCAGGTCATGTCTAGAGGGCCCTCCGTTCCGACACTCAAGGACCGGCTGGCTTTAGTCTTCTGGGACACGAGGTGCAAAAGCCCTCACCCCCTAGTTCTGCACAATGAACATGGCTCTAAAACCAACAACACAGCTGAATCTGGAAAACCTGTTACCTTTTGCTTTTGCCTTTTCCTTGTATGGACTGGGTTCTCTTCCTGGATGGAGGACACCTTTTGACCTGAAGTCACAAGCAAATGAAAGGAGGTTACAAAAAAAGCCTTTCCTGCAAAGGGGAAGGATAAGGGAAAGGAGAGCCACTCTGGAAAAGAAAACTAAGTAAGGTCTATCTTGCAGACTTATTTAACTCAGAACATAGTTAATCAACTAAGGCTTGGTCTCCAAAATAGAGGATTTGGCCCAAATCCCCTCATTAAGGATAAAGGTTTTGTGAACTGATTGCAGTATGGCTGGTCAGCCCCCTGCCCCCTTTACACAGTGTGCCACAGCAGAGGTCCCTCTGGGTGTCCCAGGGGCCCAGTACAAGGCCCTCCTCAGTCCTCACCCCTCCTGAGTCCTCAAAGGCGCCTGCCAGGAATCACTCCTTATGTTCTGATGATTCTTCCCCCTCACCTTTCAAGCCTGACCCACCTCCCCTGCTCCTGTGGCGCCCTCTGCCGTCTGCCTCACCCCCTCTCCACGCTCTCCTTGGACCTCATCAACCCCCCCCCCCACACGGGACGACCAGCCAAAGGCCTGGGAGTCAGCGTGGCTCTCGACCTCCTCCTCCCTGAGCTTCCACTGCGAGTTCTGTCCAGGCTGCGTGTTCTGGAGAAGTGCTGGACACTCAGCACGCCAGACAACTGACACAGGCACTGCTCTTGTTCACCCGAACCCCGCACTGCTCTTCCTCCTGGGCCCCACAGGCCGCCGGGCGGCAGCTGCCTGAGCGAGGAACCACGCCGTCATCTCTGGTTCCTCTCCTTGCCTCCGCCAATCCGGCCCACTCTCCCTTTTAAATCTCACTCAACACCTTTTCTTTCCATGGGGTCAGAGCCTCAGTTCAAGACTTGCAACAGACTCCCCACTGGTTTCCTTCTCTCCAGCGTGTCCCCTCTCCCGTTTGTCCTGAGCACTGGTCTGAAATGCCAGTTTGGTTGTGTCGCTTCCTGCTACCTACCTGATGAAACTGAACGCCCACGCCAGGTGCACAAGGCCAGTCATTATCCGGCTGCGCTCCACCCACGCTCCTCTCAGAGCTTTTGCCCCAGCCGCTCCGCGCTGCTTCCCGAGCCTTAGTGGCACTGCCGCGCCTCCTCTGGGAACTCCCTTCCCTTTCTTTTCCAGCTAATGAAATCTCAGGCCTTAAAGGCCTGGTTGTGTCTTAAGGGGGTAGGCAAGACTTAACAGCTTCCTGTTCCACGTTTACGCACTCTGTGTGTATCTCTACGATCACTGTTATTAGCCACTTAAGTGGGATCGTCTCTATTACACCTCGAACTCTGGGAGGGCAACACTGTATTTTAAGAATTCCTGTATTTCCTCGTCTGCCAGCCCACAGCCCTAAATCTGAGTTCCTACTTACTTTGGCAGTTTGAAGTTTCTTATTTTTTTTCTCTTCCTCTTCTTCTTCCTCTATCATTTCATCCACTTGCATTGCCTTTCGTGCTACAAGAAACAGTTTCACAAGTGACATTTCTCACGGGAATAAACTCTCATTCATTCACATTTCTTATAGGAAAGAACAGTGATGCAACCTTAGGCTGTAAACAAGAAATAGACCCGATATAAAGATGACGGAGAGGTTAAGAAGCCCCTACGATGCCCTGTGTGGTCAGCCCAGTGCCCTGGCCCTTCCACAAATTAGGCCTCACGGCTCCAGGTGGCGCCTCAGTTTCCTCCTCTATAAAAGGGAGGGTCACTGTATCCGGATGTTATGAGACCTGGAGTGTGTGCTCCCTAAGGACAGGGTCTTTGCTGTTTCTATTCCCATCTCCCAAACCCTAGCACTGTCCCGATGAATGGTCAAGTGTTTGTGGAGTGAATGAATGTGAAGCCCTTTGGACAGTACTGGACACGTGTTATAATAAATACCATCATTTGTTATACTATTACTTATGCAGATGCCACAGGGAAACTTAGAAAGTGTCTCACTGCTAAATATGCACAGCCAAGAGCTAGGCAATCAGAGCAGGGATTCCATAAAGGAAATTCTGCACTTCACCACAGGGGGAGCGAGAAATCAGACTAAGTGACTTTTCAAACAACTTTTTACTGTTGCTTCACACTGGTTCTGGTGTGTTCAGTTCCCAGGAGTGAAATGAGAAGACACCCCTACACCCAAGTTAGCAAAACTGATGCAACCCAAACGAGAAACTGATATTACCTAAATGTAGGAATGACCCAAAGGGACCTAACAGATGGTAGATATGTGGCTGACAAACTCTAGGAACAGCCAAATGCACGTACATTATAACCTCCGGCAGGCAGAACTGGAATACAACACTTGGAAAGTGAAAATTTCACCATGCATTCTTCCCACTACAAAGCAATTCTGACGGAAGCCAAGTTGGCATGAGAACTGGACAGTGGTTCTGGCCCTGCCCAGCCGAGAAAGCGCCCGCGTGGGCAGCCCAGAAATCCATGGCCAGACAGCCTCACTGCCAGGAGCTGGCTGCACCGAACCACCAAAGCGCAACCACAGTGACCTCAAGTCTGTAACAGAGCTCATCCTGGCCTGATGCCATGCTCACTAATCACAACCCGGCTCCCCCAAAACCCGCCCTGTAAGACAGTGTTTCTCAGTGTGGGGCGTATGTGTGCGAGACTCATCTACATGGTGGGTGACTGAATGCAGCAACATGGAGTTAACATGCGGAGAATGTCCCTTTACAGTCCTCTCTCGGCCCTTCTGATCAGGGGTCGCACCTGGTACGGCCCTGTCTAGCAACAGCCCCGGAGACCTCACCAACCTCTCCAACTCAGGGGAAGCAAGTAGACTGCACGTTCCGTTCGCAGCGCAGCTTTTGTTTTCCTCCTTTTACCTTTGCTCGCACGTCTGCCTAGAGAGTCTGGTTAGCACTGGCCTTGCATGCAATTAATTAAATGCAGTGCCCCAAATCAAATGTTTCAATTTATAAGCCCGAAGGCTATACTCTTAGGGATCACTTCTGTAGTTTGTTATAAGCCCGAGGACCAGATATTTAGGGGAGAGGCTCCCTCACTGAGGCCCCCTGCAGCGGCCAGCCAGCGCCCCTGGGCCTCGGCTCCCTGAGTTCGACAGGGGACTCTGAGAAGCACTCACTTCTGGCAGATTTCAGGGGTGTCTGAATAGCTTCTGCTGTTAGTTTGTTTATTTCTCTGATGTCCAGGTCAGCCTGTGGACAACACAGCCAGAAAACCATGCTCATTCCATCAAATATGAGCAACAACATATTAAGATGAAAAACAATTACTCTTAAAAACGTATTATTTGAAACATACAGATAGTTAATTTCAACACAATGTAATAACCTCCCATAAACCCACCAAACAACCCAGGACCCAAAACACCAACAACAACATGCTCCTCCTATGTATCTCCCTTGTCCCGTTTCCCTGTGTCCCCCCCAAAGGCGGCCCAGTCCCCTGTCATTCTCCAGGTAACCACTTTCATCCCATTTGCTCGCAAGTGCAGGTGTGGATGTGCACACGCACATTTCTTCACAAATGTGTATGTGCTTGAATACTATTTTGTTTGGTTTTGTCTCGAACCACTGTCTGTGGTGGTAGTTAATCTGCTTTCACTGCTATAAAGATCCCACTGTGTGACTGTATCGCACTAGGTTTGCCCAACCTCCTGTTCATCTTTTTCCGTTGTAACACTGCTACTTTGAACTATCCCACAGATATGTCCGAGATTCCTCTTGGCTACATATCGGGCAACCAACATAGCCCTGGCTGCTGTGGCTCAGTGGACCAAGTGTCGGCCTGAGAATCAAGGGGTCACTGGTTCAATTCCCAGTCAGGGCACATGCCTGGGTTGCAGGCCCAGTCCCCAGTAGGGGACACATGAGAGGTAACCACACGTTGACGTTTCTGTCCCTCTCTTTCTTCTTCCCTCCCCTCTCTAAAAATAAAATAAAATCTTTAAAAAAACAAAAAACAACAAACCAACATAGTTCCAATAGGACAAGTCACTCACCGTTGCTGCCTCTTCCAGGGCCTGCTTGCTTCCTCCAAGGGCTTTAAAAAGATCATTTTGTCCAGTTACTATGAGATTGCAATGCTAAATCACCTTCCCATGACCAGATTAAGCCCTTGGTCCAACACTGAAGGACCCTTCAGAACCTAGTCTGATCTTTCTTTGAGCTCGACTCACACTCCTCATGACCGAGTCTACGTTCTACCACACCAAGAAGTTCCCGCTATTTCCCAAGGGTGCCACTGTCCTTCGTGACTCAGTACTCTGGTATTTACTACCTTTTCTGCCCCCCCATGTTCCTCTGCATCCAACAAATTTCTAATTCATCCTTCAAAACAGCTCAAACCCTAAACTCCGTCTTTTACAGCAGATTGCTGCAAAGCGCTGTCAGCTGACCCCCTCCCCCTCCCCAACGGCTATGCAAAGCCATGTGCAAGCCCACCCTGCCCTGAACTGGATTCCTTGAGGACAGAATTAATATCCTTAGGTTCCGGCAAAACAGGACACACAGTAGGCATGCAGCAAGTGTGTTCTGAGTGAAGGAGTCCAAGCGAACACTATGTCTAGTTAGACGTACGTCTAACGAGTTAGGGTACGTCTAGTTAGACATACACTAGAGTGTTACGTTAGGTCTTCCTGCAGAAACTCAGTTTCCTGCACTAGAGTTGAGCACTCAGGCTTTGGAACCAGAAAACGCCTGCATTCAGATAGACTCTGCCCCTCACTAGCTCGTGAGAGCCTGGGCAAAGTAGCCAACCTTTCTGCGCTTTAATCTTGTCAACTATACGATGGGGATAATATTAATAGTACCTTTGTTATAAGGATAAAATTAGTTAATATAGCAAGTCCTTGAATAATGTAGTTTCATTCAACACCATGTCATTGTAAGGTTGATGAGAAAAATCGTCAGTTCCTGGTGGGGTCACTCTGTGTAGGGTTTACATGTTCTCCCCATGTCCATGTGGGTTTTCCCCAGAAACTCCGGTTTCCCCACCCTCCAAAGTTGTACGTGTGAGGTGAGCTGATGTGTGCCAACTGCCCCAGTCGGAGTGAGCGTGGGGGTGTACGACAGGAGGGTGCTCTGGATGGAAGGGCGTCCCGTCCAGGGTTGGCTCCTGCCTTGTGCCCAAGAGGCTCTGGTCTCCTAGGACCCTGAGCTGTAATGGGTTGAAAAATATTAATTCTCTCATGTTGATTCATTTTTCTTAAATGTATGTATAGCTCTTACTTCAATGTTTAATAGTAGAGGTGTTTTGGGTCTTTATTTAGAAATTTGGTGATTTTTTGTGATCAGAAATAAACATACTGTAGGAATTTAGCTCTCATTTATATCAATTAGCCTACGGAAAACCGGTTCGTTATACGTCTTTTCACTTAAAGTCTCCGTTTCCAGGAGCCTATTGAGTACATTAAGAGAGGATTTGCTGTCTGGCATAGGAAGCACCGCAGAAATGTGCTTACTGACCACTACTCTGCTCTGTCTCTTTTGCAGTCCTTATAAATTTACTTCTATAATAATGTGCAAATTTTTAAAATGATCCTTCCCCACTAACTTGTAAGTTCCTGATTGCAAGTACAATGTGTGTTTCATTCCCCAGTGCATCATCAGCACTAGCCCTGGGACTGATACATGCTCAATGAATATTTGTAGAAATGTACAAATAAATACATTAATAAATAAAAGGGCAAGCCAAAAGAATCATTAAATGTCTACACTTTGAGGAGTCCATGCATTTCCACCCCAGAAGTAGGCTACATACTGGGTAACTGTTAATAAAAAGTAAGGGTAACCCAGCAGAAAGGGCAACCTCTTGCATTTCCTTGGACATTTAACAAGGGGGTGGGGTACAGACTGGGATTTTTCTCTGGCCAAGAAAACTCCTGGGTCCTTGCATTTCACAATTTGATTTGCACTTTTTTAAGTTGGCAGGTTCCATTAGCAGCTTATCCTTTCATCTGTGCTTTGGTAACAAGCCAAGGTATTCACTCATTCATTTTAAATGGTTGGATAAAATATCAAAAAAAGATTATTTCCTGACAAGTGAAATTTACGTCAAACTTATTTCAGTGTGTCCGTAAATTTCATTGGAATACAGCCATGCCCACTCATTACAACTGGTTTGGAACTCCAACAGCAGAGGTGAATAGTTGGGCAGATAACCTTCTGGCTCAAAAGGCCTAAGATACTTCCTATCTAGTCTTGTAGAGAAAACATTTGATTACCCACAGGAGTAGATGACCGTAAGTGCTAAGGAGATTTTTTAAAAGGCTGGAGGGAAGTGAGATAGGCAGTGGCTGGAAGCGTTAAGTCTATCTCCAATGGTGACCACGGGAGACCCAACTAAGGGGAAGGCTGTCACCGTAACCACAGCGGGGGCTCCAGGGCTAACCCCGGGGAAACTCGAGCAGCGCTTACCGAAGTAGTCGAGCCAGTTCATCTCGCGCAGCGCCTTGGGGAGCCGCAGGATCTCAATGTTGTACATGTTGTCTAGTTCCTTGATGAGATTCAGCTTGTCCGACTGAATTTGCTTGGATCGTATTTGCACTGAGATAGGGCAAAGTCGACAAAACACGGGTCACCCAGTGGGTGGATAGAGCCTGGATCCGAGCTGCCGGAGCACTCCGCCAGCACCCCGCGATCCGCCCAGGTAGCCGCGACAACCCGGGCGCGGCCCCTTACCTTCACGATCGAAGTCCTTAAGAAAGGAGGCGAGCTTCCGGCTCCGTAACGAATTGGCCTTGGTCACCCCACTGCTGCCCTTCCTAGCCGGAGCCATGGCGCTTCGGTGGAGGCTGCGGGGAGCGGGGGGCCGAGCCACAGGGGTTAGAAGCGGAAACGAGGAAGGGAAAGTAGGGGGCAACGAAGAGGAGGGAGAGGGCGAAGGGGCGCCCCAAAGGGTTCGTGGAGGGGGGCTGACCTTCAAGGCCTGAGCGTAAAGAAGTTGTGCGGAACGTACCTGCGGGTCCCAAACCAAAGGCTGAAAAAAACCTCGCCGCTCAAGCCGGGAGAAAGCGGCTCAGCGGCTAACAGGACGTGCAGCCGCTCGCACAAAATTCAAACTGCCACCGGCTGACGAATGAGAAGTCGCCATCTTACAAGGAAGGTTCACAGTATCCAATCACAAGGAAGCTCCGCGTCAGGCTTCTAGCTCACACATAGGACTACAGTACCCAGAAAGCATTGCGGCTACGACATAGTTTCGCGACTTAACTGCGTGGGGGCCAGGCTTACACAGATAGGGGCGCAGGCTGGCGGCTCTGGCGGCTTCTGGTTCTTGGATGGCCTTAAGTTTTCCCGCTGGTTTAAGGGAAGCGGCCTGCATTCTCAAGGAGAGGAATATAAGATTCCGGCTCCTGAAACGTAGGTGTGGCGCGGGGGAGACCGGGCTTGGACCCGGGAATCCGCAGTTTGCAGCAGGAGACTGCCCGGCCTCCCCCTGGGGATAGTCGGGAAACCCTTCCCGAGGTGCGAGACGCGAGCCCCGACTTCCGAGATCCCTTATAAAGGTAAGACAGCGCCTCGAGCCGGGCGCTCCTATGGGAGGGGTTAGACAGCTCTACCTTGGAAACCCTGGTTTACCCTTGACCCGGCATCTCCCTACCGACTTCGGACGCGAATGCTGTTTGTTTATCTTCTTTCTGTTTCTCTCTCCCTCCCCGCCACCAGAAGATGACTCAGGACCGGCCTTTGCTTGCGGTGCAGGAGGCCCTGAAGAAGTGCTTCCCGGTGGTGGAGGAGCAGCAGGGCCTCTGGCAGGGCGCTCTGAGGGACTGCCAGCCCCTCCTGGCCTCCCTCAGCAATCTGGCGGAGCAGCTGCAGGCGGCGCAGGGTGTGCGGTTTGAGGAGGTGCCGTCGCTTCGGGACTTCCCAGATTTAAAGGAGCGGCTGAGGCGCAAGCAGCTGGAGGCTGGTGACACCGTCCTGGACAAGCTAGCGGAGAGGCTGTAAGAGGCTCCATGGCTTCCTTTCTTGGCAGAAAGATTTAAAAACCCGGTGTCCTCTAAGTAGCTAGGATCAGTCAGAACAGGATTTTTACTTGAGACCATGGGATTTGGAGGTGTCTCAACCTTCCCTCTGTTGCATCTGTTGGCAGTGGGACCTCTGTCAAAAAACCGTTTTCTGGCATTTCCTTTGTCAGAGGCTGGGCATGGCAGTGGTGGGCTTAGTAGAAGTTTAAAAAGTAAGATAGAAGCAGTGGAGAGTGCTTATTACTTTTTCTCTATAGTTTTCTTGGGTAAAATGCAATGAGGAATTACAGTTTACTGTTGAACGTCACAGGGGTCAGTGATGACCTCCAGTGCAGTGAAAATCTACATATAACTGCAGTTGGCACTCCCAGTACACCGATTCCCAATCATGAGTTAACTCTTGAACAATGCAAAATCCGTGTATAAGTGGACCTGTGCAATTAAAGCCCATATTTAAGGGTCAGCTATACACTGTAAACTTGGTGGAAGTCAGAGCTAAATGTTTTATATTATTGCATAGAATCTTTTCAACACCTCTGTGGTTTAATCTCACGTAATCCCATTGTGCAGGTGAGGAAACTGAGGCTCAAGCCGATTGCCTCTCTGGTCTCACAGCTAGTAAATAGCAAAGCTGAGGTCCTAGTCCAAGTGTGCCTGACACCAAGGCCAGAGCTCTCACGCACCACTTTGCCCTGCTGCACATGGTGTCCGTGGGCCCAGGAGTAGCAGGCACATCTGTCGGCCCTTATTCGGCCTAGTGTTAGACTCCCTACCGCAGAGTTATAGGTTATGAGGATAGAGAAAAGACAGGACACATATGACCTTTCCTTGACCAGAACAAAAGAAGGTTCTCGTGTATTGGGTTATGTGCCATAGACCAATAGGAAACTCAAAAATGGGGACCTTCTTTGTGTTCGGTTGTACAGAATACATTCATTAAGCACCAATGGGATGCCAAGCACAAGGTGCTGGGAATACAAGTGGTGAACCAGAGTTAGTTCCTTAGCTGAGCAGAAGATATAGTCAATTAAATTGTGTGGATGGTGGGCTGTTATTTTGAGTCTATTTTTAAGTTGTGGGTCGGGGTCAAACATTTTTTTTAAAGATTTTATTTATTTATTTTTAGAGAGAGGGGAAGAAAAGGAGGAAGAGGGAGAGAAACATCAATGTGTGGCTGCCTCTTGTGCCCCACTACTGGGGACCTGGCCTGCAACCCAGATATGTGCCCTGACTGGGAATTGAACCAGTGACACTTTGGTTCATGGGCCCCTGCTCAATCCACTGAGCTACACCAGCCAGGAGGGTCAAACATTTTTGAAAGCTATAATTGTAAGCCAAGGAGTGCCTTACCCCTTGGGAAATTGTAACCTTTGTCTTGGTGGCTGCGCCCCTCGGAGTCACCCATGGAATAATAACAATATTTACCACGAGCTGGGAACTTCTCTAAACACTTCCTATGCACGTTGTGGCATTTAATCTTCATAGTCACCGTCTGTATTCATTCACCAAGTGTTTGTTGTTCTCTGTGCCAGTCTCAGAGTTCTAGGTACTTGGCTGCACAGCAAGCACAGTAGACTGGTTTTGTGTGCAGTGGAGAATAAGTAACTTTCCTAAGTTCACAGGCGCCTGTGTGTACCAGGAGCCCAAACTTTACTGTTCAGAAACGTCCCAGGGTGGGGCTAGGTGGCATGCAGGTAGTACGGATTTGATGCGTCAGTTTCCTTTCATCCTTTCTCACATATGTGCGGGGGACTCTGTGAGCAGTTGCTTTTCTTGTACAGTTTTACGGCAGCCCCAGACAGGCCACTTGGTCTTTACTTTCTTTGGCAGCTGGGCTACTGATACAGCTTTAATTCTTGAGCCACCCCTACCTCCAAGGCACCGTCACCAGTCTCCTTAGATGAATAGGTGTCATTTGGAGGCAGTTTTTCCCATTGGGACATTTGGCAATATCTGGAGACATTATTGGTTGTCACACTTGGAGAGGATGGGGACATGTTTTGGTTCTGTCATCCAGTGGGTGGGGGCCAGGGATGCTGCTAAGCGCAGGGCAGCCTCCACCACAGAGGGTCACACGGTCGGAAGTGTCAGTGTGCCAGGGTGAGGAACCTGCCTGAGGCCTCTCTCATGATAATGCCTAATATCAGACCCTTTCCCCCAGAGCTGCCCTCCTCAAGGTGCGAGACACAGTCAGCAGCCACGTGGAACAAGTGCTTCAGCTCTACGAAAAGCACACAGACGCCATCAGCATCGACGCTGTCCTGCAGGCTTCCGTTGTGAGCCCCTCTGTTGCTGAGATGCTGGAGTGGTTGCAAGATATCGAGAGACATTATCGAAGTTCGTATCCTTTGCGCAAGTGCCAGACAGTCTGTCCAGAGCTGTTCCAGGAAGTCTTTTAGCTTCAGTCTTCACAGGATCACAAAATTGTGTAGTATGGGTCCGCTCTCTTTGGCTTCTGAACTTGGGTTCTTCCTACAGTTATTCCTCAACTCATTTATTGAGTGGCTACTTTATTTTTTTTTAAGATTTTATTTATTTATTTTTAGAGAGAAGGGAGGGAAGGCCAAAGAGAGGGAAACATCAATGTGTGGTTGCTTCTCATGCACCCTCTACTGGGGACCTGGCCCACAACCCAGGCATGTGCCCTGACTGGGAATCGAATGGCAACCCTTTGGTTCTCAGGCTGCCACTCAATCCACTGAGCCACACCAGCCAGGGCTCACTTGTACTTTCAATCACATGCACCGTCTTGGCAGTTTTCTTTGTCTCTAGCTTCTTTCCCTGTAAGCCATCCCCCGTGAGTGACCTCACCCCATATTTTTTCAGGTTGAGTTCTGATCCTGTTGCTTGTGTAGAAGTTTTCAGTAGCTTCTATTGGGAGGAGGGCAAAATGCGGAATCCGCATGCTGGGCTGCAGGGCTCTTTGTGTTCCGGCTCAGTCTGCCTCCTCAGCCGCCTTTCCTCCTGCCCTACACGTTGTGCCACGCTGGCCACTCTGGGAGTGTCCGTGCCCCTGAACCCGTTCCAGGCTTCCCCACTCCCGTGCCTTTGCTCATGCTTTTCCGACCAGCTGGAGTCTCCCTGCTACCTTCTAAACTGGGTGAACTCATCCTTGAACTTCCACTGAATTTTATCTTGTATGTCACTTAGGTTCTTTCTTTTCAGTTTCTGGTTTTCCTCACCACGGTGAGGCCCTGCATGGCAGGTGTGACATTCCATTCCTCTGTTCCTGCAGTCCAGGGCCACGCGAGTGAAGAGGTGCTGGGGAAAGACAGGTGGAAAATTTCAACCTGGAACATTTCATGGTGGCTGCACCTTCACTTTCATGCTCCCCGTGGCTCTCTCCAGGGTTTGTTTTTCTTTCCCTTCGATACATTTATTTATTGATTTATTTTAAGCATTCCTTAACTTCCAGGAAGGTACCTGAGGAGGAAGTACCTCCTGTCCTCAATCCACTGGGGAGACTTGGCAAACATCCGAGCTTTGCCCAAGGCCTGGGACCGAATTTCAGAAGACGAACACCAAGACCTGGTGCAAGGTGCTGGTTTTCACTTGCCCCTTTGCATCTTCCCCTCCTCCCCTCCCCTGCCGTCTCCCTTCTTCAGAAGCATCATGGGGCAGTCCTCATGGTGCCTCCGTGTCTGCCATCCGCCTGATGTGTTGTGTTCTCCGGAGAGGTGTGGGGTCACAGCTGCTCTCTTCCTGTTCCAGATGTCCTGCTGAGCGTGTCCTTCTTCCTGGAAGAGTAAGGAAGCTGTGCATTCTTCTGGAGACCGGGAGTGAGCAGCTGAAGACTGACAGAGTTGAACTCCGGTATTTCTGAAGACATGCGAACGTTGCCGCCACTGGACATACCCCGAAAAATGGTCCAGAGCCCGAGGACCGGCTCCTGGGAGAATTGTGCCAGGTGTTTCTGACATTGGGGCTTCTCCCTGCCGGGTCACGGCTGAGGGGACTCGGGCCATCCCTCGCTCTTCCTGGGGCCCAGGGAGGCCGAGCATGCAGGGAAGACAGTGCCATACACCGGGGCCAGGAGCAACAGCCACTACGTGGTGGGTAGGGAAGGAAAGGGCAGGTCAGAGAGTGGCACTGCCCTCGGCGTCACCAAAGCTCTAAGCCTGGTTGACACC